AACAATAAAATATCTACACAGTAGCTAGGTGGGGCCCTACCTAGTAACAATAAAATATCTACACAGCAGCTAGGTGGGGCCCTACCTGGTAACAATACAATATCTACACAGCAGCAGCTAGGTGGGGCCCTACCTGGTAACAATAAAATATCTACACAGCAGCAGCTAGGTGGGGCCCTACCTGGTAACAATAAAATATCTACACAGCAGCAGCTAGGTGGGGCCCTACCTGGTAACAATAAAATATCTACACAGCAGCAGCTAGGTGGGGCCCTACCTGGTAACAATAAAATATCTACACAGCAGCAGCTAGGTGGGGCCCTACCTGGTAACAATAAAATATCTACACAGCAGCTAGGTGGGGCCCTACCTAGTAACAATAAAATATCTACACAGCAGCAGCTAGGTGGGGCCCTACCTGGTAACAATAAAATATCTACACAACAGCTAGGTGGGGCCCTACCTGGTAACAATAAAAAAACATCATTTAGTTTATACCCCCCCCCCCTTCTCTATCTCACCCCCGCCCCATCTCACCCCAGCCCCACATCTCTACTCTCGCCCTCCCCATCTCTCTCCCCATCTCTCTCCTCTATCCCCCCCCCCTACTCTATCTCACCCCCCCCCCCATCTCCACTCTCGCCCTCCCCATCTCACCCCTCTCTCTCCTCTATCCCCCCCTCACTACACCCCCCTCTCTAGACCCCCTCTCTCTCTACCCCCTCTCTCTACCCCCTCTCTCTCTACCCCCTCTCTCTCTCTACCCCCTCTCTCTCTCTCTACCCCCTCTCTCTCTCTACCCCCTCTATCTCACCCCCCGTCTCTATCTCACCCCCCCATCTCCATCTCTACTCTCCCCCCATCTCTACTCTCGCCCTCCCCATCTCACCCCCCCCCTCCCCCCGTGTTGAACCCCGCAGCGATGGGGATCTTCATCTCTCGACGCCGCGAGGCCAGCGGAGGTCACGTCCGTCTCGCGCGCACTTCGCGGACCGACTATGGCCCGGCATAGCAACGTGGAATTCCCCACAATAGCCGCTCATCGTGGCGTCACGCTCGCCTTATTGAATGCGACCGTGAGATTGGTGGTAATGGGTCTCTGTGCGAGGCTGTTGGGAACTGACCAAAGGTGGTGTGGGGTTTCCCCTAGGTCCACTCAGCCTTAACAAGCGGGGTTATTAACGTTGGCGGTGGTGGTGTAGCGCTTCGCCACCCGATTTCGACTCCCGCTCACGGTCATCAAAACCCGTGGCGATTAACGGTGCCTCCCCTAGGTCGACTCAGCCTCAAATGAGTACCTGGCGCGGTGTGCAAAAATCGCCACCGGGGAGACAAAGGCGGCCGGGCGTGGTGCTGGCCACCCACCCCCTGGTGTGCCGAGCCGGCCTTAATGAGGTGCCCGCTAACAGCACTTGCCCCAACACGTGCAATAATAGGCGCTCGCAAACTGCACGTGTTGTGGGCTCGTCTGTGCGAACCGATCTGACGTCACTCATCGACTCATTGGAGGCATCGATCATCACCGATCGATCATCACCGATCGAGCATCACCGATGCCTTCTCTCTCTCGGCGCTGCTGTTCGTGACTCTGCCGACTGAGGATGGCCACTGATGCTAATAACGCTGCTGCTGATGATGATGCTGCTGCTGATGATCATCATGAGGATGCTAATAACGCTGCTGATTATGCTTTAAGAATAATGCCATTGGAGAGATACTGCTGCTGATGATGATGCTGCTAATGATGATGCTGCTACTGATGATGCTGCTGATGATACTGCTAATGATGATGCTGATGCTGCTGATGATCCTGCTGATGATGCTGCTGATGCTGCTGCTGATGATACTGCTGCTGATGATACTGCTGCTGCTGATGATGCTGCTGATAATTCCGCTGCTAATATTGAGATGCTGCTGATTATGCTTATAACGGTAATGCCATTGGAGAGATGCTGCTGCTGATGATGATGACACTGCTGCGAATGCTGATGGTGCTGCTGCTGGAGATGATGATGATGACGATGCTACCGATGATAAAGAGGAAGATGCTGCTGATGATACTTGGGCTCATGATGACCATGATGCTGCTGATACGAGAGCTGATGATGAGTGTTGCTACGAATGCTGACAATACTGTTGCTGCAGCTGATGATGATGGCTGTTAAATATACTGCCGCTTGTTTTTGCTGATGCTGCTGCGGGTGATGACATTTGCTGCTGCTGCTGATGATGATGATGTCAGCTCTGGGAACATCGCCTGATCGGGTCTAGAGTTACCGTAGCTACCCGAAGCGCCGCGCACTCCACCCCCACCACACCGGCGGCCGTAATGAATAGAAACCTCAAACGTGGCGGGCGAGGAGTGGGTGGTGGTGGCATCATCTCTCTCTCTCTCGCTCGCTCGCGTCGCCCTCTGGTGGACACGCCGTGGGTGGCACGGCGGGGCTGGGGACAACAACGAGCACGCAGCAAGTCCTCGCTTAACGCGAGCCGCGCGTTCTCCTTCACTCGCCTCTCGCACTCGGGAGACCATTTCCGCACAACGTGGGACGCGACACCCTCCCCACCATCCCCACCCTCCCCACCCTCCCCACCATCCCCACCCTCCCCACCATCCCCACCCTCCCCACCATCCCCACCCTCCCCACCATCCCCGTTATAACGCGGGCGGCTACAGCGTCAGGGCCGCTAGAACGCGGAATGCGTTTATAGTCCGTTTATAGTCCGGGGTGAGCGGCGACAACACGGGGGACTGATTTATTGCCATGAAGGGTAAAACGTTATTTGTACGTTGAACTTCTTTCGCACCGTACGTAGCCAACCGCACTAACGATGACCTCACCATTGCCACGTTAAACGAGGACGGCCTGGAAACCGCGAAGCTGGCTGCATGCAGCTGACGTCGCTCGCCTGAAACCCAGCAGGGAGGGTTGGTGGATCACACACAGATGGGGGGGGGGGGGGGGTGTGGACTCGCACTCCCTTACAGTGGGTGTGATACGAGAATTTCCACCACCCCCACCAGCACATCCACCAGTCCTAACCACATCCACTCGTACCACCATCACCACCCCCACCACCACATTCACCAGTAGCATCACCTCCACCAACATCCAGTAACCACCACCACATCCACCAGTAGCATCACGACCAGCAACCTCCAGTAACCACCACCACCACATCCACCAGTAACATCACCACCACATCCACCAGTAACACCACCACCAGCAACATCCAGTAACCACCACCACATCCACCAGTAACATCACCACCAGCAACATCCAGTAACCACCACCACATCCACCAGTAACACCACCACCAGCAACATCCAGTAACCCCCACCACATCCACCAGTAACATCACCACCAGCAACATCCAGTAACCACCACCACATCCACCAGTAACATCACCACCAGCAACATCCAGTAACCACCACCACATCCACCAGCACATCCACCAGGACATCCACCAGTAGCATCACGACCAGCAACATCCAGTAACCACCACCACATCCACCAGTAACATCACCACCAGCAACATCCAGTAACCACCACCACATCCACCAGTAACATCACCACCAGCAACATCCAGTAACCACCACACACATCCACCAGCACATCCACCAGTAGCATCACGACCAGCAACATCCAGTAACCGCCACCACATCCACCAGTAACATCCAGTAACCACCAGCACATCCACCAGTAGCATCACCACCAGCAACATCCAGTAACCACCAGCACATCCACCAGTAGCATCACCACCAGCAACATCCAGTAACCACCACCACCACATCAACCAGGAGTTTGTTTGCCTTCCCGCACAACTCCGATTAGCCGTTTGGCTGATAGTGCCAAGGCAGTTCACCACACACAGTGCCACCACCACAACCGCCATTCGCCACAAAGTGACGGTGACGGCGCTTGTGCCAAGCCATGCGCACATTTAGGCCACGTGAAGTGTCAAACACCCACTGGCAGGTCACGGGACAGACCCTGGTGCCATATGGGTTGACTGAGATGACTGGCCGATGCACCACCTGTGCCCCCCTACAATGCCAATTGCTGTTTTAGCCACCCGGCGCTCCGCTCGTTGTTGTTAGCGTCTCTCCTCTGCCCTCCGTTGATGCTGGAAGAAAACTGCCTCCAACTGCCAAGTTGCAGCGTCCTTCACGAGCCTCCTCCAGAGGCCGATCTTGACACCACTGGTACCAGTCATCGGTAAGTCCACTCAGCTCCACGTCCTCTTGTACCACATCACTCCATCTCTTCTCCAGCCCGTGCGCCACCCGTTTAGCCCCCTGTATCCGGCCGAACAAAAGCCGTTTTGGCATGCGGTGGCTGGGCATGTGAGCTACATGACCCAGCAGGCGTAGCCTTGCCTGCCGGAACTCGCCGATGAGACTTTGTCCAGATCTTTCAAGTACGTGAGCTCAAATAATCCAGCCTGGTTAAACCCAGGATGGATCGTCAGCAGGCCAGCCTCTTAAGTGGTACATTCCTGGTTCAGTCACAGTGCGACTAACTCCTCTGACTCAGCAGGAATCGCCAATCAGCTTGTCACATGCATGGGTGACCATTAGAACCATCCCTTGACTGCACCTGGGCATCTATCAGCCTCCTGTTGTATCTGTACCAGATGGAGATTTCTCCAGTACAGCCATAGAAGGCTTCACGAACTACGTGGTGGAAAATATGTTAAACAATGTGGGAGCCGAAGGACATCCCTGGCGCACCCCAAGGGGAACAGGGAATGGCTCCGGCTCCTGGCCAGTTTGACCTGGGCCTGCCGCCCATCACAATGAAGGTCCTTAATGATTGTGAGCAAAGTCAGGCACTCGGAGAGCACAAAGCACCCAGAGCCCAGGCATATTGACGGCATTATGCCTTGCCCATGTGCAGTCCCTGGAAGGGGCACCAGCAACACATCCATAAGCATCACCACCACCACCACCACAATGACCACCTCCACACAGCAGACAGAAGAGGGCTACGCACATGTGGCTTGTAAACGTTTAATTGTTGTTGTCACTGTACAAAAGGGGGAGTTGGCCTCACGGCGCCTGCTCCACACAAACACGGGGAGCCTGGGGGGGGGGGCAGGAAAGTGGGGGGCTCGCATCCCCCCCAGAACCAACAAAAAACAATTCAGTCCTCCACACTTCCTTTAAGCACAGAGGGGACGTCTCCCTCCCTCTCCCCTCTCTGTCATGCGGCGTCGCACAAAATGGGGACGCAGGCCACAGCAGGGGATGGAGGGAGGGGGGGGGGAAGGGAGAAGGGGGGAGGAGACACGGGGAGCACAGGGGCGGGGAAGGGAGCTGACCACCATCGCCGCTAGTTATCGGAGGCCACGCTCCGGCTGCGGCTCTCCTTCCCGTTATCTCCGCTCCGGCTGCGGCGACCACCGCCGCCCTGCTCCCGGCTCCCGCGTCTACGCTCCCCAGCGCCGCCGCCCCCCCTGCTCTCCGGGCTGGCCCCGCGCGACCGCTTGCCGTGGTCCCGGTCTCGCCGCTCCTCCCGGTGCCTCCGGTCTCCTTCGTCCGACCGTCCGTGCCGCTCCCCGCCGCCGCCGCCGCCGTCCCCCCTCTTGCCCTTCTCCCCCCGGCCGCTCCGCTCGCCCCCCCGGGTTCTGCCGTCTTCGCGGGGCCGGCGCTCGGGGCTCGCCGACCGCTGGCGCCACGACGACCTCTCTCGCCTCTCCTTGTCTCGCTCCCTCTCGTCGCGGTCTCGCTCCCTCTGCTTCTCCCTCTCCTTGTCCCTCTCCTTGTCCCTGTCCCTCTCTTTCTCTCTCTCCTTCTCCCTGTCCTTCTCCCTGTCCCGCTCGCCGTGCCGGTCCCGCTCGCCGTGCCGGTGTTTGCCGTCCCCGCCGTTGCGGTCGTGCTCCAGCTCCCGGTCGCGCTGCTGCCTCTCTCGCTCGCGCTCCAGCTCGCGGTCAAAGTCCCGGGGAGAGCGCCGGGGACTCCTGCGCCGTGCGCACGCCACACGAGACACGCGCAGACAAACACCACATACCACGCCACACACATGCAGACAAACACCACATACCACGCCACACACATGCAGACAAACACCACATACCACGCCACACACATGCAGACAAACACCACATACCACGCCACACACGCGCAGACAAACACCACATACCACGCCACACACATGCAGACAAACACCACATACCACGCCACACACATGCAGACAAACACCACATACCACGCCACACACATGCAGACAAACACCACATACCACGCCACACACATGCAGACAAACACCACATACCACGCCACACACATGCAGACAAACACCACATACCACGCCACACACATGCAGACAAACACCACATACCACGCCACACACGCGCAGACAAACACCACATACCACGCCACACACATGCAGACAAACACCACATACCACGCCACACACATGCAGACAAACACCACATACCACGCCACACACATGCAGACAAACACCACATACCACGCCACACACATGCAGACAAACACCACATACCACGCCACACACATGCAGACAAACACCACATACCACGCCACACACGCGCAGACAAACACCACATACCACGCCACACACATGCAGACAAACACCACATACCACGCCACACACATGCAGACAAACACCACATACCACGCCACACACATGCAGACAAACACCACATACCACGCCACACACATGCAGACAAACACCACATACCACGCCACACACATGCAGACAAACACCACATACCACGCCACACGAGACACGCGCAGACAAACACCACATACCACGCCACACACATGCAGACAAACACCACATACCACGCCACACACATGCAGACAAACACCACATACCACGCCACACACATGCAGACAAACACCACATACCACGCCACACACATGCAGACAAACACCACATACCACGCCACACACATGCAGACAAACACCACATACCACGCCACACACATGCAGACAAACACCACATACCACGCCACACACATGCAGACAAACACCACATACCACGCCACACACGCGCAGACAAACACCACATACCACGCCACACACATGCAGACAAACACCACATACCACGCCACACACATGCAGACAAACACCACATACCACGCCACACACATGCAGACAAACACCACATACCACGCCACACACATGCAGACAAACACCACATACCACGCCACACACATGCAGACAAACACCACATACCACGCCACACACATGCAGACAAACACCACATACCACGCCACACACATGCAGACAAACACCACACCCCGCAAATCAAATCAAACGTCGGCACGTTTCGGCGTCCGCGCCGGGACAACTCAAAAACGCGACGCATCCCCCCCCCGATTGAGGAGGTGCCACGGGTGAACGGCGTGCAGGGGGGTGCGAGCAGAGCGCAACCTGGAGCGGTGGCGCGGAGGCATCTGGGGCACCTCTCCCTCCACGACGGCGGCATTGGCGGTCGCCCCCCCGGCACCGCGACCGCCGCCCGCTGACGAAACGGCCGGGGGAGCGGCGGCGGCGCCGCCCCCGGGCGGCGCCTGCCGCGGGCGGCCCGGCCGCGGCCGCCGACGCCGGTAGAGAGCGAGGCCGCAGCTTGAGGCGGGCGTCCATGTCCTTCTGGATGGGCACCGGGATGCGCGGAAAGAGCGTGGAGAACCACTCCAGCTTGGTGAGGAAGGAGCGCAGCATCTCCCCCACGGCCATCACGCAGCCGCCGCCCGCCTTGACGTCCAGCTCCTGGCACCGCCACCGGCCACAACCGCCGCCACCACCACCACCACCACCACCGCCACAACCGCGAGATCAGCCACGAGCAACACATCGGCCGTCGTCTCCGCTTTGTCACAGACGGCCCCCCCCCCCCGCCACCACCACCACCCACTACTCCGCCCCACCTCTCCTAGCCTAAGCCTGGGCTGGGCCCCCAATAGCAGACTAGCCGTGAGAGCGGGGTGGTGGGCACCACACGGCTCCAATGAGGAGGTGGACGGGGGGGGGGGGGGAGAGGCAGAGGGGACGTGGGGCGGAGGGGGGGTGGTAGTGCCCGGTTGAAAACCAATGAACCTGCTTTGGGTCCTGGGGGTGGGGGGACACGGGATGGGGGGAGTAGGGGAGGGAGGGTGGGGGGCTGGGTTTCGGGGGGGCACGCGAGCCGTCCCAGGAGGGTATTACCGCGTGACGACAGCGCCTTGGCGGAGGAGGCCACAGCTCAGGGTTAGTCGGCTATTGGCGGCGCCAGACCTACGGTAACAGCACATGGGGGGGTCACAGCACCGCAGAGCGCGGACACACAAGGCACACACACACACACACACGGACCCACGCAACAGACACGCACGCACGTGGACACGGGCGGAAGTGCGCGCACGGACCACAAAGACACGGGGCACAAAGACACGGGGCACAAAGACACGGGGCACAAAGACACGGGGCACAAAGACACGGGGCACAAAGACACGGGGCACAAAGACACGGACGCGCCACCCACCCACGGACACGCAAAGTCGCGGACGAGAGAGCACGTGCGCGTGTACGCGGTGAACGCCGGCCTTCTCCCAAGGCGTGTGGATGAGCGATCGATGAACGCGACGTGGGCAAGGCCGGGCGTCACCGCAGCATCGCCCGTGACGCTCCACAAATTGACACGGTGGATCTAGCAGCAAGGGCTAGCGGTAAAACGATGCGCGCAGTCGTACTGCACTCCTACGCTCCCCCCCTTGCGTTCACCAACCCGCAATGACTGGCGTAGCGAAGGACGTTCAAACAAGTGTCCCCCATGACCCCTCCCCCCATCTGATGGCGTGCGTAAGGGACGGACGAGAGCTGCGTGCGTGTGTGTACGTGTGTGTACGTGCGTGTACGTGTGTGTACGTGTGTGTACGTGTGTGTACGTGTGTGTACTTGTGTGTACTTGTGTGTACTTGTGTGTACTTGTGTGCGGCGTGCCAAGGTGAAACTCTGAGCGAGATATAAAAGAAGAGGTAAAAGAGGTGTCGTCATTACCCATTTCCACGTACCTCCTCATCGTCTAAGAACGCCTCGAACCACTCCCACAGGTCAGCCGGGGGCTGAGTGTATCTGCACACACACACACGTGCACACGCGCACAACCAAAACAAGTCAAACACCCCACCACCTAGCTATTAACAGACTGTTGGGGCACAAGCGCTGTTACAGACGGTGGGTTAAGACAACTACCACGCATGCCCGGCCACCTACAGCGAGGGAAAAAAGTATTTGATCCCCTGCTGATTCTGTACGTTTGTCCACTGACAAAGAAATGATAAGTCTATAATTTTAATGGTAGGTTTATTTGAACAGTGAGACACAGAAAAACAACAAGAAAATCCAGAAAAACGCATGTCAAAAATGTTATAAATTGATTTCCATTTTAATGAGGGAAATAAGTATTTGACCCCCTCTCAATCAGAAAGATTTCTGGCTCCCAGGTGTCTTTTATACAGGTAACGAGCTGAGATTAGGAGCACTCCCTTTAAGAGTGTGCTCCTAATCTCAGCTCGTTACCTGTATAAAAGACACCTGTCCACAGAAGCAATCAATCAATCAGATTCCAAACTCTCCACCATGGCCAAGACCAAAGAGCTCTCCAAGGATGTCAGGGACAAGATAGTAGACCTACACAAGGCTGGGATGGGCTACAACACCATTGCCAAGCAGCTTAGTGAGAAGGTGACAAGAGTTGGTGCGATTATTCGCAAATGGAACACAAAATAACTGCCAATCTCCCTTGGCCTGGGGCTCCATGCAAGATCTCACCTCGTGGAGTTGCAATGATCATGAGAATGGTGAGGAACCAGCCCAGAACTACACGAGAGGATCTTGTCAATGATTTCAAGGCAGCTGGGACCAGTCACCAAGAAAACAATTGGTAACACACTACGCCGTGAAGGACTGAAATCCTGCAGCGCCCGCAAGGTCCCCCTGCTCAAGAAAGCACATATACATGCCCGTCTGAAGTTTGCCAATGAACATCTGAATGATTCATAGGACAACTGGTGAAAGTATTGTGGTCAGATGAGACCAAAATGGAGCTCTTTGGCATCAACTCAACTCGCTGTGTTTGGAGGAGGAATGCTGCCTATGACCCCAAGAACACCATCTCCACCGTCAAACATGGAGGTGGAAACATTATGCTTTGGGGTGTTTTTCTGCTAAGGGGACACGACAACTTCACCGCATCAAAGGGACGATGGACGGGGCCATGTACCGTCAAATCTTGGGCGAGAACCTCCTTCCCTCAGCCAGGGCATTGAAAATGGGTCGTGGATGGGTATTCCAGCATGAGAATGACCCAAAACACATGGCCAAGGCAACAAAGAAGTGGCTCAAGAAGAAGCACATTAAGGTCCTGGAGTGGCCTAGCCAGTCTCCAGACCTTAATTCCATAGAAAATCTTTGGAGGGAGCTGAAGGTTCGAGTTGCCAAACGTCAGCCTCGAAACCTTAATGAATTGGAGAAGATCTGCAAAGAGGAATGGGACAAAATCCCTCCTGAGATGTGTGCAAACCTGGTGGCCAACTACAAGAAACGTCTGACCTCTGTGATTGCCAACAAGGGTTTTGCCACCAAGTACTAAGTCATGTTTTGCAGAGGGGGTCAAATACTTATTTCCCTCATTAAAATGCAAATCAATTTATAACATTTTTGACATGCGTTTTTCTGGATTTTCTTGTTGTTTTTCTGTATCTCACTGTTCAAATAAACCTACCATTAAAATTATAGACTGTTCATTTCTTTGTCAGTGGGCAACAAACGTACAAAATCAGCAGGGGATCAAATAATTTTTTCCCCTCACTGTTCGTCTCCCCAGTGCTGACGTCGTTACGCACAGCACTGAGGCACTCGTTTAAGGCCAAGTCGACCGACAGGGAGGCCCAGGACATCTTCAGAGGTTGGCCACCGCTGTTGGCTGCGAGCGGGGAAAATTGCCAAGTTCGTGGTGCGGATGCGCCAACCACTACGCTACCGCTCCAAACAAAGACAAAGCTCCCCCGCATAGCCTTTAACTAGCTGTTGGGGCAAGCTACCACTACCAGCACGCACATGAGCGCGCAGGCGCCAAAAGGGCCAGAATGTTAAATCGGACAAGGGAACAGCACGTACGACGACACTGTTCAGTGGGCTGTGAATATCAGCCAATTTGTTTGTAAAACGGGGCCTCTCTCCTCACTCAATGTTTTACCACGGTGGCTCAGAGATGTTAACTACCTCGCCTGGTATGCAGGAGGTCGTGGGTTTGATCCCGGCCCTGACAATGCCTGCTGCTGCTGTATATTTGGTGTTTGCAGGTCTCTTTCTCTTCCCCTGGTCGCGTGGATTTTTGTCTGGGTCCTCCGGTTTCCCCCTCCACATTTAGAATCAATAATACGCGGTTTTGGCTGCTGCTATAAATTTCCACACGATGATGATGATAAGCCACCGACTTCATTGAGCTATCATTTTGTGATGGCCAGATTGCTTCTGAAAAACAAAGAGCCACGTTTGGCAGCAGTTCAGTGGAGCCTTAGGCCTTGGTAAAATAAAAACACCAGTCAAGACTCGTGGCCGCCGGTGACGCCGCCGCCACCACCACCACCGCCCGCCTCCGTACCGGATGTACATGAATCCCAGGCCGCGGATGTATGGCGAGTCCGAGTGCGTGATGAGTCCGTTGAGCTGCTTGCGCGTGAGCTTCAGCGTGAACAGCTTGTAGAGGAGGCAGAACGCCGTCGACACGATGCCACCCGTGCCCACTCCTCGCACCTGGCACGACGATTGCGTGAATGTTGTTGTTTGGTTTAAGACGTAGGCTTTCGCGACCAATATCATCCATAATACAGGTTTTTTTGGGGGGGTTAGATGGTGTAAATATATACGTGTCGTTAAACCCACCACCACCAGACACAGCCAATTAATAAGGGTTGTCACGTAAACGAAACTCTTCTAGTACAGCACACCGGTGTGCTGGAGAGCCAAGCAACAAAATGTACAATCTGAGTACGACGTTTTGCCAGTAATTACAACTAGCGCCATCAGGCGATAGCCAGATTTGTGGAGAAGTCCACCTGTTTCGTTTCTTAAATATTTGTTATTTGCCCGCTGTAAACCTGCACGTTGACAAGCCACTCCATTGAGCTGTCATTTATAACCGCTCGTTAGTTTGTCCTTCAACGTACATACGTAGAGGTCACTTCTGAAAAAGAAGCTAATAGCTCAGTTGGCTTTAACTGGTAAAATACAAATAATTTATAATTTTATTTTTTGCGATCTGATACTTTTCCTATCCTCGAGGCCCCAACTGGACATCTGTGAAAAAGAGCTTCATGTCTCATCTTAATCTTACAGTATAAAGAATTACTGTGTAACTCCCTGTGCGTGATGGGGGGAAGGGGCAGTTTGGGGTGGCACTAATCGGGGTGCTGGAGGCTAGGGTTAGGATGGAGACAGCAGCAAGGGTTGGTGGATCACCACACAAAAACTCCGTGGGCATCGGAGTAGGAGCTGTACCCTGGCTCGCCAGAAGGCGGTAACAGCAAGTGGACTAATCGCCATCCGCTTCCGTTCTTAAGGGGATACAGCGTTGCCCCCTTGCGCTCGGCGTGGGTTTTCTCCCGGTGCTCCGGTTTCCTCCCCACTTGCAGGATAAACACAGCTCGTCATTAACCGGTTCAAAGCATCTTAAGTAAAAAAATCCAACGTGTAGCGGCAGGAGTTGCACAAGTCTGCGTGGCTCTCCGGAACAAATAAGTGAATTGTTTTAATTGGAAATGCACGTGTAATAGATGCCAAATAATAAGTCACCTATACTAACATGGTATATAGAGCGATCGTTCTGAGAGCGATCATGAGTCTGTTTCACAGCCTGCAGGGGGGGACAATGTTGCTGCTGTGGTCTAGCCTCAGAGCAACCCCCCATGGCAGATGTCCCTGTGCACACGTTTGCTGCTAGTAGTAGGGGGGTGATGCTTGCTGCTGTTATTATCACAACCGAGTATTGTGCAGCGTCGTGGGACCTTTACCGTCCGCCGCGAGTAAAGCTGGCGGCGTGTAGCAGCAGCATTTCACAGCTAATAAAACACCACCGCAGTAATAACCAGGGCAGCCAGCAGCATTCGAGCCACGAACCTCCGCAGCAACAACAACAATCTGCGATCGCGCTCCCGCCTGGCCGTTTCACCACCAGCTGCGATTAACCAGCGATGGCACGTCCTACAAATAGCGGCGACTCTTCGTCTGGATGAACATTCCATCCGGCCACAGACAACCGAGGGGTTTTGACTGCATTCGATTTACACAGGGACGCACGCACACACGCGTTGTGTGCGTGCGTGTTGGGGGGAGCGGTCGCGCAGCGGCTAGCGCAGACATGGGCAAAGTACAGCCCGTTGGGCTTTTTAATCCGGCCCGTCGAACTTGTCCAAATATTATTAAATTAAATTTTACCTTTCTCCTGTAATGCCCCCATTTCCCCATTAGATGGCACACTTTGCCTTGCAAATAAATGCTTTGCTACCTGTTAAATAGGCCAAATCCTTTCACGTAATGATTTTTACACGTCATTTATATTAGTTCACACAAACACTCCATCCGCCTCTGTTCCTGGCCCGGCCCCTCCGTCAAATTTTAGAACCCATTGTGTGACCCGCGAGTCAAAAAAATTTGCCCACCCCTGGGCTAGCGGCAGTGCGCTACGAACCCGGCGACCCGATTTCAATTCCGCTCACGGTCAACACCGGTGACGATTATCTGAACTGGTCCTGGGCCTTCTCTAGGTAGACTCGGCCTCAAATGAGAAGCTGGTGCGGTGTGAAGTAAACATCGCCGCTGGGGAGACAAAGGCGGCCGAGCGTAGTGCTGGCCACCCACCCCCCCGTGTGTAGTGCTCGCGCGCGCGTGTGTAGTGTGACGAGGGGACACACTTTTCACTCACCCCGCCGCACATGCCCGTCTGGCCCGCCGTCTTGCGGCTTCCTTTCTCCCACGGCTCCAGGTGAGACACCTGCGGTGGGGGGGGGGGGTCACGGGAGGGAGGGAGAGACGCGGTGATGGCAGAGACTCCGATGAGATGCGGCACCTCCCCACGTCCGCCCGACATCGTTGACAATGACGCCGCCGCGGCCGCCAGAGCGAAAACGCAACGCAAGGCAGAAGGCCGACGGGCAAACGTCGGCCTTCCGACGATGGTCGGAGAAGTTAACGCACGTTAGCTCTGTCCGTCTGTAACGGGGGAGGTGGGTCACGAAGATCACGAGCAAAGCTTTCGTGTAAAGTTGCGTCGCTCGTCGGGACTGGCTTGGAGAAAACTGGCCACATCCATCAGGGTTCTTGGCAAAAAATGTAACTAAAAATAAACTATAAACTAGCTTTATTTTAGCAGGTAAGGCCCAATTGAGCTATACAGCTCTTTCTCAGAAAGGACCTGGCCACCAATGATAGCTCAACAAAGTGGCTAATCATATCATGTGAAAATTTATGAGGGAAAACCCAGAGGACCCGGAGAAAAATCCACATGACCACGGGGAGAGAACATGCAAACTCCAAATATACAGCAGGCGTCAGGATCGAACACACGACCTCCTGTATATCAGGCGAGGCAGTTAACATCTCGCTACCGTGGCAGCCCAAAACTTGGGAGACAAGAGAATGAATTCACGTGTGGATTCAGGTGATCATTCCCTGAGTGCGCAACACTGGACTTCGATTCCATCTCGGTGTGTGTCAGAACGGAAAAACGACGGTGCAAGTTTCAGAAATGACCTCCAATGGGCACAACCGCAATGACGCCAAATGGCAGGTCACCACATGCGGTGGGGGTTACAGTTATAGTTTAATCCCCACACTATTCCCAAGACCACTGGGTCAGCACAGACGATAGATTAGGAAGCCACTGCAGCTATGCACTTTTAAATTATGATCTGGATTGAAAACTAATTTCTTTAGAACTGCTTTTTGTGTTAAGTTTTGTTGTCCTTCCTCCGCACCTCCGATTTAGCACAGTTGGCTACGTACGGTGCGAAAGAAGTTCAACAAACAAGCGCGTTAACCCTTTCCCGTTCCGATGACGTATGTGCGTGTACGTCATCGGTTTTCCTTCATATTCCGTTCGGACGACGGAACCGAAAGAAAAACTAAAATAACTTTATCGGTACCGAAGCTCCCACAATGCCATGCGGGAGGGAGGGCGTGTGGCACGGTGTTGGCGCCGGCTATCGTAACAGAGTGCAGCGGTCGTGTTGCTGCGGTTCTCTGTGGAGACGTCTTCAAAAACAGCGGCGCTAACTCAGCCTCCGAGAATAAAGTCAACGCTGAACCCTGCAATCCGCAGGACGTCTTGGAACGGGAAAGGGTTAATTAATGTACCTGCAGGCAGTGGCTCTCTCTCGCTCTAGCTCTCTCTCCGCTCTATCTCTCTTTAGCTGCCCGCTCGTGCTGCTGCCACAGCTGGCAGAAGAGAAGGAGCCCTCCACCACAGCGAAGGGAGGCTGCCCCACGCCGCCTTCATTTCGATGAGAGAATTAACACGGTGGGGTGGGGGGCGGGGGGGGTGATAGCGAGGAGTCACTGGCCTAGGTGACCAGTGGGGGGGGGGTCGTCGCACGGAGAGCCGGGGGACGGACACCTGGCTGAGAGAGACACCTGGGTGAGAGACACCTGGCGAGACAAATCAGCATCGGACACACAGGTGCGAGACAACACCTGGGGGTTAGACACCCGGATTTAGGTCCAACTCGGTTTTTTTGTGTACCCATTCACTCTCTTAAAGCCCTCTTGACATCTCTCGTTTGTGCTCTGAAAAAGGGCCGGTGCCCGAAACGTCGCCTATTTTCACGCAGGGCCACTCACACAGTGTTGTTATTGTTGACGAACGCGGAGGGTGTTTTTTTTTATTAACTTTGCTTGTGCACCACTGCCAACGTAGTAATAGCAGCAGCAGATAATCTGGGTGATATATTTAGTACTCAAATAATCGTGTGTGTGGTATTTTATGCGTATTTATAAACGGCTAATCAGCAGCAGCCATGGTCACTCCTCTGCTGGATGAGTCTTCCCCAAGCCATCCGCTACCTTCATTCATTCACCAAATGTGTAACTCGCACAAACTTTTGTTAATTGAAAAGGGAATTCCACGATGTTTATTAATCCATCATAGATTATTCATCAATTATGGATTAATAAACTGCCGGTTAGCTTCGTGTATTGTCCTTACCCCGGCGCCTCCAATTATCACGGTTGGCTACTTACAGTGCGCCTAAAATTACAACATATACACACACACACCAACACCACACGGCAGGCAACCACCACCACATACTAGATTGAAAACGGTCTTTAAAACGGCGTTTTGTCTTTAGTTTACTGTCCTCCCGCACCTCAAGACTATCACGGTGGGCTACGTACCGTGCGAAACGCGTTCAACATTCATCCCTTGCCCATAGACTCAACATTGCCCACAGACTGCTTTGTGTTTCGTTAACCTTCCCCGCACCTTCCATTAGCACGGTTGCCTACGTAAGCGTCAAAGAAGTCGACCACACACACACACAATCACCAACATCACCCCCCGATGAGCACGGTTTGGCTACGTACGGCGCGAAAGAAGTCCACCATACACACAGGCCGCCCCGCACCTTGTAGTAGATCTCGTCCACCACCTCGTGGTAGGTCTTCAGCTCGTAGAGCTCCACCTTGAAGTAGGGTGACGCCTGGATGTTGGTGAGGATGAGCGGGTTCATGTTCATCGTCTTCTCGTTCCCCCACAGCGGCAGCGCGTTCCCTCGGCCTTGCGTGCCGCCCGCCATCGTCGCGGGGGAGACAGCGGGAGGAGGAGGCGGCGGCGGTGAGGAAGCGACACGGGGGGGAAGGGGGAAGAGAGGCACCGGGAGACACGGGGACAGACTGACCGGCACCGGGAGACACGGGGACAGACTGACCGGCACCGGGAGACACGGGGACAGACTGACCGGCACCGGGAGACACGGGGAGAGACTGACCGGCACCGGGAGACACGGGGACAGACTGACCGGCACCGGGAGACACGGGGACAGACTGACCGGCACCGGGAGACACGGGGACAGACTGACCGGCACCGGGAGACACGGGGAGAGACTGACCGGCACCGGGAGACACGGGGAGAGACTGACCGGCACCGGGAGACACGCGGGTTGGTACGCGAACAAGAGACGCAGGGGGAGACAGGCGGTTCCCGCTGCGGGGACACGGGAGACGCAGGGGGGTGGTTACTGGCGGTGGGGGGGGGGAGACGCTGGGGGGTTGGGTTAAGGAGCCAACAAGACGGCGGAAACAAGACACAGAGAGACGCGGCGGCGGTGGCGGAGACAAGTGGGGAGACAACGTGGGGAGACAACGTGGGGAGAGACAAGTGGGGAGACAACGTAGTAGAGACAATGGAAGGCGGGGAGTCTGGGCCTAGGCCGCGGGGAGGGAAGGCAGCGAGGGGGGGGGGGTAGGCGGCGAGGGGAAGGGGGGGAACTGTGGGATTTGGGGAGAGGGGGGGAGACGCCTCGATGTCTCTCTGCGCCTCCTCTCTCTGCGTCTCCTCGCTCGCTCTCCCTCTCCCCGATGTCGCCTCTCTCCCCGATGTCGCCTCTCCTCCGTCTCTCGCTCTCACAATGGCGGCGGTTGGGGGCTTGCGCCTCCTCAAAATGGCGCACGCGCGCTCCTCCCACAGTGCCCCGCGCGCGCTGAGTCGCCGCCGACTTCCGCCGGAACTTGCGTGCAGTTACGACCTCATCCCGTCCTCCATTTCCCACCCCCCCCCCACCCTGACTTTTGGGCCACTCTGTATAACAATAGCCCTGTGTCCTGACTTTTGGGCCACCCTGTATAACAATAACCCTGTATCCTGACTTTTGGGCCACTCTGTATAACAATAGCCCTGTGTGTCCTGACTTTTGGGCCACCCTGTATAACAATAGCCCTGTGTCCTGACTTTTGGACCACCCTGTATAACAATAACCCTGTATCCTGACTTTTGGGCCACTCTGTATAACAATAGCCCTGTGTGTCCTGACTTTTGGGCCACCCTGTATAACAATAACCCTGTGTCCTGACTTTTGGGCCACCCTGTATAACGAATAACCCTGTATCCTAACTTTTGGGCCACTCTGTATAACAATAGCCCTGTGTGTGTCCTGACTTTTGGGCCACTGTATAACAATAGCCCTGTGTGTCCTGACTTTTGGGCCACTCTGTATCACAATAGCCCTGTGTCCTGACTTTTGGGCCACCCTGTATAACAATAACCCTGTATCCTGACTTTTGGGCCACTCTGTATAACAATAGCCCTGTGTGTGTCCTGACTTTTGGGCCACTCTGTATAATAGCCCTGTGTCCTGACTTTTGGGCCACTCTGTATAACAATAGACCTGTGTCCTGACTTTTGGGTCACCCTGTATAACAATAGCCCTGTGTCCTGACTTTTGGGCCACTGTATTACAATAGCCCTGTGGGTGTCCTGACTTTTGGGCCACTGTATAACAATAGCCCTGTGTGTCCTGACTCTTGGGCCACCCTGTATAACAATAGCCCTGTGTGTCCTGACTTTTGGGCCACCCTGTATAACAATAGCCCTGTGTGTGTCCTGACTTTTGGGCTACTGTATGACAATAGCCCTGTGTGTTCTGACTTTTGGGCCACTCTGTATAACAATAGCCCTGTGTGTGTCCTGACTTTTGGGCCACCCTGTATAACAGTTACCCTATGGGCCACACCCTGTGTGTATATACACCGTGTACATATACGTTAAAGAAATAAACCCTTCAACTCGGGCTACAAAACGCAACACCGCCGCGTCGTATTTAATGGAAATATCCGAAGTTGACAAGCGATCAATCAGCGAACAGCAGCAGCAGCGGCGGCGGCATGTACACACAGACAAAGGTCCCCCGTGTAGCCTTTACCGGCCCACCACGGTGTAGGCATGGATTCTAATCGCCACCACGTTCCACATCCACCGCGTGGTGGCAACTCGCGATATTCCAGGGTTCCACCCTGCACAGATTCACCCGCCGACCGCTTTTTTGCGACCTCGAAAAAACTTTAAAACATTTTTTTTAAAATTTGTTTACCGGGTAAGGCCCCACTGAGCTATGAGGCTCTCTTTAGGGAGCGACCCGACCACCACAAATGATAGCTCAACGAAGTGGTGGCTTGTCATCATCATCATCGCGTGGAAATGTAGAACAGCCAATTTCTCTAAACGTCTATTCTAAATGCGTGGGGGGGGCGGGAATCGGAGGACCCGCAGAAAAATCCACGTGACCACGGGGAGAGATGTGCGCAAACTCCAAATATACAGCAGCAGGCCAGCTGCTGTATTCCTGGAGAGGCAGTTAACATCTCGCCTCCGTGACGCACGGTCCACTAGAGGCGCTGTTTGTTGCAATGAACTGCAACAAGCGCGTGCAGGGGTAGCGAGTCGTGACTGTGGCTGCACCGCGACCCTCAACAACACCAACAGGCGGCGGCGGCGGCGTCACCGCGGTGCCTGTCCCAGGTCACGCGAAGTGTCGAAGGCTCTCGCTGCTTGCAGGAGGTCACGGGACAGACAACAGGTGCCACAGGTCGACTGACTTGAGACGACTGGCAGATCACAATTTTAGTATTTCATCAGCTCAAGGCCCTACTTCGCTGATGTGTGGCTCTTTTCCAGAAGCCACCAGGCCACCACAAGTGATAGCCCAACGAAGCGGCTTATCACGCACCAGCTATTGCCCCCCAACCACCCCCCCACCGCCTCCTACTGTGCCTACCGCGACCCTAAGCGACGCTGCGACTCGCATTCGATTCCCGCTCACGCGCCACCAACGGCGTCGACTCGGCCTTAAAGCAAGTACCCAGTTTCGGCGTGCGTGTAAACATCAACAGCGGGAAGACAAAGGCGGACCCCGGGGCACGCTTGCTGGTGGTGGCTGCCCAACCAGGAGCCTCGCGCGCCTGTACCGGCCTCAATGGGTGCTGCTCGTTTAACAGCACTGGTCCCAACAGCCTGTGCAGGGCTACACGCTGGGGGATCTTTGCCTTCGCGCGCGTGTGTGACGTGCGCGCGTGTGACGTGCGCGCGTGTGACGTGTGTGACGTGCGCGTGTATGACGTGTGTGACGTGCGCATGTGTGACGTGTGTGACGTGCGCGTGTGTGACGTGTGTGACGTGCGCGTGTGTGACGTGTGTGACGTGCGCGTGTGTGACGTGTGTGACGTGCGCGTGTGTGACGTGTGTGACGTGCGCGTGTGTGACGTGTGCGACGTGTGCGTGTGTGACGTGTGTGACGTGTGCGACGGCCACGGCACGGCTCCGCGTGCGTGCAGTGGAAAAAAAAAGAAACAACCCGTGCCAGGCTGGCTTGGCGGGCCAGTAGTGGATGGGGAAAATAAATAACGGTGCCAGTCACTCAGGCAGTGGTTCTCAACTTTGCGTTTGGCTACTGGAACCTCCCACCTCTTTGTTGAATTTTGTTTCAACTGCCTTGCCTGACCCAACGTGGTTCTGAGGACATAAACGGTACGAATCATGAACGTCAACATTTTTTTTCCCAAATTGTCCATTTTGTAGGGTAAATCCGAACTGGCTGCGAGTAACCGCAAGTGAATTGAAAATAAAAATTAAACGGACGCTCTGCACGCATCATTTGTTCACGCTCGCTAGTTACTCTTAGAAACCGCAGTGTTTACGATCATCAATGCGTTTAGAAAGGTCTTTTACAACGTTCGAGGTTACCGTATGGATTGCAATCTTTACCGCAGTGATTTAATATCGGCAAATTCATACAACGTGATTATTCACCAATGACTCACTCACGATAAAATTCCGCACGTTTATAAATCACCTCGCGTACCCGCTGGGACCATGCCCACGTACCAGAGGGCTACCACACGCACCCGCCTGGTTGAGAACCACTTGCGCTAAGCAGACCGGGGCCACGGTACGAGATTGCCGGCAATCGTTGCCGGCAACTGCGCCGCCAACGATTGCACAACCGCACATCAAAAAAGCAGCGGGCTGCTGTTCCTAATTTTTTCTCGTCCTCTCACGCGGTGGGGGCGGGGGGAGCGGTGAGGGGGTAGAGGGGAGGGGGTAGAGGGATGGGGGTATGAAGCGACATCCGTTTGTATCATCGCGCGCGCTGGCAACAGCCGTCAACGCTGAGGAACTCGCCACCGCCGCCGCTGCTCCTGCTGCTGCCCACGACGAGAGGGCTTCAAGCAGAGCGAGAGATTTCGTGTCCTGTCGCCGCTCCTCCTCCTCCTTCTCCGTTGAGGGGAGAGCGCGTGGGGGACCGCGGCGAGAAACTCCCGTAGACAAACCGTTGCGCCCGCAGCCCCCATTCTTTTTCCACCGCCGCATCCGAGCTGAGCCGAGGCCGAGTGACGACTGTGATGGTGGTGCGAGCAACTTGGTTAGGGGGGGTCAGGGTGCAGGCGTGGGGGGTGCGAGGGTGTCGTAGCTCTGGGGTGGAGGCTCGGCGCGTGTGTCTGTGCGTGCGTAGCTCAGGGTCGCGGTGGGCACACTAGGGGGCCACAGCTGGTGTGCATCTGCCAGTCGTTTCAAGTCAGTCGACCCGCGGCACCACCTGGGGTCTCTGTCCCGTGACCTCCTGCCAGCAGCAGCAGCAGCGATAGCCTTCGACACTTCACGTGTGCACCTGGCCTGGCACAGATCCCTGGGGGTAGCGCCGGAAACGATTCTGGGGGATGACCGTAGCCCCCCAGTGTTGGCGCCCCCCCCCCCCCTTCCTCCCCCGCGCCCCCACAACTGTGGTGCAGGATGGCCGTCTCACACGGTGAAGAACAAGATGAGCACCAGCAACATCAGGCCGAGCAGCACCAGGATGGCGATCCACTGGCGGCGGTCTGGCGGACACACACGCACACACGCACATGCACACACATGCACACACGCACATGCACACACATGCACACACACGCGGGCACACACACACACATGCACACGCACATGCACACACACACGGGCACACACACACACATGCACACACACGCACATGCACACACCCACAAGCACACACACGTGGGCGTACACACGCGGGCGTACACACACGCACACACACGCGGGCACACACACACACGCGCGCACACACGCGCACACACACGCGGGCACACACACACGCGGGCACACACACACGCGGGCACACACACATGCACATGAACACACACGTGGGCAAACACACGCACATGCACACACACACGCACACACATGCGGGCACACACACACAGACACACGCGCACACACACACAAACACGCACTATCATCATCATCATCACTGTCATCGTCACCGCCATCACTATCATCATACTCACCACTACGCACGCTCACCACTCCACACGCTCACCACTCCACACGCTCACCACTCCAAACGCTCACCACTCCAAACGCTCACCACTCCACTCGCTCAACACTCCACTCGCTCAACACTTCACTCGCTCACCACTCCACTCGCTCAACACTCCACTCGCTCACCACTACACACGCTCACCACTCCACTCACTCACCACTCCACTCACTCACCACTCCACTCACTCACCACTCCACTCACTCATCACTCCACTCACTCACCACTCCACTCACTCACCACTCCACTCACTCAACACTCCACTCACTCACCACTCCACTCACTCATCACTCCACTCACTCACCACTCCACTCACTCACCACTCCACTCACTCACCACTCCACTCACTCACCACTCCACTCATCACTCCACTCGCTCACTACTCCACTCGCTCACCACTCCGCACGCTCACCACTCCACACGCTCAACACTCCACTCACTCAACACTCCACTCACTCACCACTCCACTCACTCACCACTCCACTCACTCATCACTCCACTCACTCACCACTCCACTCACTCACCACTCCACTCACTTAACACTCCACTCACTCACCACTCCACTCACTCACCACTCCACTCACTCACCACTCCACTCACTCAACACTCCACTCACTCACCACTCCACTCACTCACCACTCCACTCACTCACCACTCCACTCACTCACCACTCCACTCACTCATCACTCCACTCACTCACCACTCCACTCACTCATCACTCCACTCACTCATCACTCCACTCACTCAGCACTCCACTCACTCATCACTCCACTCATTCAACACTCCACTCACTCATCACTCCACTCACTCACCACTCCACTCAACACTCCACTCACTCATCACTCCACTCGCTCATCACTCCACTCGCTCACCACTCCACTCACTCACCACTCCACTCGCTTAACACTCCACTCACTCACCACTCCACTCACTCACCACTCCACTCACTCACCACTCCACTCACTCATCACTCCACTCACTCACCACTCCACTCACTCACCACTCCACTCACTTAACACTCCACTCACCACTCCACTCACTCATCACTCCACTCACTTAACACTTCACTCACTCACCACTCCACTCACTCAACACTCCACTCACTCATCACTCCACTCACTCACCACTCCACTCACTCATCACTCCACTCACTCACCACTCCACTCACTCATCACTCCACTCACTCACCACTCCACTCACTCACCACTCCCACTCACTCATCACTCCACTCACCGCTCGTCATGCGCGACACCTTAGCGAGCTTCTTGAGCACCCCGTCCATGCGTGAGTGCGTCACCTCGAGCTCCTGGGAGAAGTCACCCAGCATCCTGCAACACAAAGGGCCTCCAGGTAGCCTCAAGTGCCATTAGTGGGAAGCTGCACCTATGAAGGCCCGGCGGGACGGCACGCGAGGTGGTGGGTGGCCAGCAACCACTCCCGCCCGGCCGCCTTTGTCTCCCTTGCGGCGTACACACACAAATAAAGGTCCCCCAGGTAGCATTTAAAATTATGTTGGGGCAACTGCTGCTAACGAGCAGCACCTATGAAAGCCGGCACGGCACACGAAGGGGTGGGTGGCCGGTACCACGCCCGACTGCATCTCTGCTCGCTCAGAGGAGGAGTTGGAGGTGCTACAGCTGAACCTGGCGCTTGCCACTAAGAGGTGGGGCCTTACCATCAGCCCCACCAAAACTAAGCACCTGCCTGGGTATTTTGTGGCACCAAACACACCACCCCTCAGCTCCCCATTGGTGATGGGGCAGTTGTGGAGAGAGTTGAGAGTTTTCCATACCTGGGCAGTGTGCTTATGACCGGCTCCGGTTTGACAGCAGAGGTCTCACTCCGAATCAGTCGAGCGGCATATTTCCATCGACTGCGTAATGTTGTGCTGAAGCTACCTGGTTTGTCGCTCCACACAAAGCTTCGGGTCTTCTCAGCCACGGTCATTCCCTCCCTTCTCTACGCTTGCGAAACGTGGATCCCCCCTAATGGAAAATCTTCGCTGGTTAGAAACATTTAGCCTGACCTGCCTACGATCTATCCTGGGTTTAACCAGGCTGGATTGTGTGAGAGACCTGGACAAAGTCCCATCGGTGAGCTCCTCCGGCTGGCAAGGCTGCGTTGGATGGGCCATGTAGTCCGCATGCCCAGCCACCGCATGCCCAGACACCGCATGCCCAGCCACCGCATGCCCAGCCACCGCATGCCCAGCCACCGCATGCCCAAACAGCTTTTGTTCGGCTGGATAGGGGGGGGGGGCTAAACGGGCACAGCACGGGCTAGAGTAGAAATGGAGTGATGTGGTACAAGGGGATATGGAGTTCAGTAGAATTGCCAATGACCGGTACCAGTGGTGTCAAGATCGGCCTCTGTGGAGGAGGCTCGTGAAGGACGCTGCTACTGGGCAGTTGGAGGCAGTCGCCCTCCAACAACCACGGAGGGCAGAGGAGCGACGCTCACAACAGCGGGCGTTCGACACTTCACGTGGCCTCAAAGTGCACATGGCCTGGCACAGCCGACATGGTGTTGTCTCTCCGTGGGACTCACCGGTCCTGGTCGTCCAGCTCCGTGCCGATGCGCTCCGACATGTGCTTGAGCACCCCCAGACTGCCCGACACCAACTCCAGCTGCTCGTCCTGAGACTGCACAATCAACTGCAAAGACAAAGATCCCCCGAGTAGACTTCATCGGACCGTTGGGGCAAGTGTCGTCAGCGACCAGCAGCACCTATGAAGGCCGGCATGGCAGACGTATGGGCTGGGTAGCCAGCACCACGCCTGGCCGCCTTTGTCTCCCTGGTGGCGATGTTTACACCCCGCAGCAGGTACTCATTTGAGGCTGAGTCGACCTAGGGGAGGCCCATGACCAGTTCAGATAATCGTCACTGGTGTTAGTGGTGGTCGTGAGCGGGAAATCCAACTTGGGTGGCCGGGTTTGTAGCGCAGCGTAGCGCTAACCGCTGCACGTCCACTCCCCACAAGCACGCCAACCGCTCCACTACGCACCGCCTCAATCACTCACTCACCCACTCAGCCAGTCACTCAGTCAGCCACTCACTCACTCATCCACGCAGCCACTCACTCACTCACCCACTCAGCCACTCAGCCAGCCACTCAGCCAGCCACTCAGCCAGCCACTCACCCACTCACCCGCCCACTCAGCCAGCCACTCAGCCACTCACTCACTCAGCCAGCCACTCAGCCAGCCACTCAGTCAGCCACTCAGTCAGCCACTCACTCAGCCACTCAGCCAGCCACTCAGCCAGCCACTCAGCCAGCCACTCAGCCAGCCACTCACTCACCCGCCCACTCAGCCAGCCACTCAGCCACTCACTCAGCCAGCCACTCAGCCAGCCACTCAGCCAGCCACTCACTCACCCACCCACTCAGCCAGCCACTCAGCCAGCCACTCAGCCAGCCACTCACTCACTCACCCACTCAGCCAGCCACTCAGCCAGCCACTCAGCCAGTCACCCACCCACCCACCCTTGCAAATTAAAATCCTATCCTGGTCTCTTGAGAGCTCTCACCTGAATTTTGATTTAAAGCTTTCGTGACTGCAGTAATTCATATTCTTAGTTTTTTCCGGTAAAGTCACGTTGAAGAGAAACAACAAAATAACAAAATATATATAAAACAATAAAAAATTCTCACGACGTTTCGACCATAACTCAAACGGTCATCATCAGGTGTGTCGGTTTGCATAAATTTATTTTGAAAACGGCATATTTATTTATTTATTTATATATAAAAAATATATAACGTTTGCGTCACGCGCAACGATTGGCAGTTTGCCCAGGACTAGTCCATCTATTTTTTTTTGAAAAGAGGAGGGGGGAGACGAAATTTGTTTTTATGTATGCTGTCTGAAAGCCACTGTAAGTGTGAACAATCAATCAAGAACTGAAATGATTTATCAAATCTTTCCAATGATTGCTAAGATAGAATCCATCTTCTCGGTTGAAATTGTCTCTGTGCTTGTATATGTGGATAGCCTCATGAACGAATCTCTCATGGAAGCCAGATGGCTTACAAAGAACCTCCGTCTTGGAAAAGTCAATGGCATGTGAGCCTACTGAATTAGAACAATGATCTGCTACAGCCGAGGTGTTGGTCCTACCGTGTTTAAGGTCTGCTTTATGTTCACGAATGCGGTCCGAGATATGGCGTTTGGTTTCTCCAATGTAACTACTACCACAGAGGCAACTTAGTTTGTAGACACCAGGGTATTGTATGTCCGGAATCACATCTTTTACAGACGGAACCAGATCACGGATTTTATGTAATGTGTTGAAACGGACCTGGATCTTGTGTTTATTCAAGATTTTGGAGATCTTTTTTGTGATCCCAGCAATGTAGGGTAAAGTGATGGTTTTGAAAGGCTCCTCAAGAGGGTTCTTCTTCATGGTTTGAGTGATAGCTTTGCGGATTGTATAGTCGGAGTAACCATTAGCCCTAAGAGCTTGGTGTACGTGCTTGAGTTCACTGCTTATGTGTTCCTGGTCGGATATGCATTGGGCTCTATGATACAGAGTCTTGATGAGAGAATTCTTCTGTGATGGATGGTGGTGGGAATCCGGTTTCAGATAAGCATCCGTATGGGTAGCTTTCCTGTAGACAGAGTGGCTCATTGAACCATCAGGTCTCTTTTTAATTAGGACATCCAAAAAAGGTATCTTGCCATCTATTTCGACTTCCATGGTAAATCTGATGGCTGGGTGTATGGAATTGATGTGGTCGAAGAATTGGTCTAGAGCAGGCCGGCCATGTGGCCAGATGACACAAGTGTCATCCACGTACCTCTTCCATAAGGTTGGGCGCAGAGTGGCAGTCTGGATGGCGTCAGTCTCAAATTTCTCCATGAAAATGTTAGCTATAACTGGAGAAAGGGGGGAGCCCATTGGGGTGCCCTCAGTTTGTTTGTAGAAAGTTCCATTCCAAGTGAAGTATGTATTGGTTAAACAGTGTCTCACCAGGGGGGGTACCTCAGTGTTTAGTCCTTGATGAACCAAGTCTTCAATGATTGCAATGGTGTCAGGTACAGGAACCTTGGTGAATAAGGAAACTACATCAAAACTGACAAGCAGGTCGTCTGGGGACAGGGAAATACCCTTGATTGTTGATACCAGGTGAGTAGAATTTTGTACCGCAGAGGTGGTTTTTCCAGTGAAAGGACGCAGGATTTCAGACAAAAAACGAGCTAGTTTGTAGGTGGGGGAGCTGATAGTAGAGACTATGGGACGAAGAGGTGTATCAACTTTATGTATTTTTGGTAAGCCGTATAATCTTGGTGGCCTGGCAGCAGAAGGTTTCAACGAAAACTGTTTAGATTGATCAATTAATGCGGTTGAATCAGAAATTATTTTGTTGGTTTGTGTGACGAGGCTGTTGGTGGGATCTCTTTTTATTTTTGTATAACTACCATCGTCGAGTAATTCTTTAATTTTGTTGTTGTATTCTATTTTATCCATGATAACAGTAGCATTGCCTTTGTCAGCTGAGAGAACTACAATATCATTCCTCTTTTTTAATTTATATAATTCAAAACGCTCATCTTTGCTGAGGTTGCTAGCTGGCATCTTAGCGTTTTTGAGGGTTGCAGCGATTTCAGATCTTGCTACGTCTGCAGCGATGTGACCCAGGCCCCTGAGAGCAACGTCTACTTGGGCAATTATATCATTAACTGGTATGTGTTTAGGTGTGACTGCAAAGTTTAGACCTTTAGCTAAAACGGATTTCAGACCATCGGAAATAGAACTGTTACTGCGATTAATTACGACTTTATTAACGTCTAACTTTTTGGTGTATGGGTCCGGTCTTTTGTTGAAGAGGAGGTTAAATTTGGAAATCAGGTTTTCCTTACATTTGGTCGACATAGTAGCAGCTGAAGAGGCAGTCATATTGTCTACATGTTCCCAATCCGATGTGGACATTATTGCCGTCAATGATAAGTGTGATTTGTAGAGTGTCTTGTCTAACTGATCTAGTTCTGTGCGTATAAGTCTGATTTTTTCTGAGATAAGAGCTAAGCTAGTTTTGAAAAGAATTCGTTTCGCATTAGAAGTTACAGTAGCAGAGGTGAGTGTAAATGCGATTGGTATTACCCCAGAGTCGCGGCATCTCTTCAGGAAGGTGAGAGACTCGATCAGCTGAGCTTTCTTATCCCGGAGTTTGTTGAACGATCTTAAAGTTATGTGAAAACCCTCCCCGTAGAGGCGATTAAATTTTGATTTAAAGCTTTCGTGACTGCAGTAATTCATATTCTTAGTTTTTTTCCGGTAAAGTCACGTTGAAGAGAAACAACAAAATAACAAAATATACATAAAACAATAAAAAAATTCTCACGACGTTTCGACCATAACTCAAACGGTCATCATCAGGTGTGTCGGTTTGCATAAATTTATTTTGAAAATGGCATATCTATTTATTTATATATATATATATAAAATAACGTTTGCGTCACGCGCAACGATTGGCAGTTTGCCCAGGACTAGTCCATCTATTTTTTTTTTTGAAAAGAGGAGGGGGGAGACGAAATTTGTTTTTATGTATGCTGTCTGAAAGCCACTGTAAGTGTGAACAATCAATCAAGAACTGAAATGATTTATCAAATCTTTCCAATGATTGCTAAGATAGAATCCATCTTCTCGGTTGAAATTGTCTCTGTGCTTGTATATGTGGATAGCCTCATGAACGAATCTCTCATGGAAGCCAGATGGCTTACAAAGAACCTCCATCTTGGAAAAGTCAATGGCATGTGAGCCTACTGAATTAGAACAATGATCTGCTACGGCCGAGGTGTTGGTCCTACCGTGTTTAAGGTCTGCTTTATGTTCACGAATGCGGTCCGAGATATGGCGTTTGGTTTCTCCAATGTAACTACTACCACAGAGGCAACTTAGTTTGTAGACACCAGGGTATTGTATGTCCGGAATCACATCTTTTACAGACGGAACCAGATCACGGATTTTATGTAATGTGTTGAAACGGACCTGGATCTTGTGTTTATTCCAGATTTTGGAGATCTTTTTTGTGATCCCAGCAATGTAGGGTAAAGTGATGGTTTTGAAAGGCTCCTCAAGAGGGTTCTTCTTCATGGTTTGAGTGATAGCTTTGCGGATTGTATAGTCGGAGTAACCATTAGCCCTAAGAGCTTGGTGTACATGCTTGAGTTCACTGCTTATGTGTTCCTGGTCGGATATGCATTGGGCTCTATGATACAGAGTCTTGATGAGAGAATTCTTCTGTGATGGATGGTGGTGGGAATCCGGTTTCAGATAAGCATCCGTATGGGTAGCTTTCCTGTAGACAGAGTGGCTCATTGAACCATCAGGTCTCTTTTTAATTAGGACATCCAAAAAAGGTATCTTGCCATCTATTTCGACTTCCATGGTAAATCTGATGGCTGGGTGTATGGAATTGATGTGGTCGAAGAATTGGTCTAGAGCAGGCCGGCCATGTGGCCAGATGACAAAAGTGTCATCCACGTACCTCTTCCATAAGGTTGGGCGCAGAGTGGCAGTCTGGATGGCGTCAGTCTCAAATTTCTCCATGAAAATGTTAGCTATAACTGGAGAAAGGGGGGAGCCCATTGGGGTGCCCTCAGTTTGTTTGTAGAAAGTTCCATTCCAAGTGAAGTATGTATTGGTTAAACAGTGTCTCACCAGGGGGGGTACCTCAGTGTTTAGTCCTTGATGAACCAAGTCTTCAATGATTGCAATGGTGTCAGGTACAGGAACCTTGGTGAATAAGGAAACTACATCAAAACTGACAAGCAGGTCGTCTGGGGACAGGGAAATACCCTTGATTGTTGATACCAGGTGAGTAGAATTTTGTACCGCAGAGGTGGTTTTTCCAGTGAAAGGACGCAGGATTTCAGACAAAAAACGAGCTAGTTTGTAGGTGGGGGAGCTGATAGTAGAGACTATGGGACGAAGAGGTGTATCAACTTTATGTATTTTTGGTAAGCCGTATAATCTTGGTGGCCTGGCAGCAGAAGGTTTCAACGAAAACTGTTTAGATTGATCAATTAATGCGGTTGAATCAGAAATTATTTTGTTGGTTTGTGTGACGAGGCTGTTGGTGGGATCTCTTTTTATTTTTGTATAACTACCATCGTCGAGTAATTCTTTAATTTTGTTGTTGTATTCTATTTTATCCATGATAACAGTAGCATTGCCTTTGTCAGCTGAGAGAACTACAATATCATTCCTCTTTTTTAATTTATATAATTCAAAACGCTCATCTTTGCTGAGGTTGCTAGCTGGCATCTTAGCGTTTTTGAGGGTTGCAGCGATTTCAGATCTTGCTACGTCTGCAGCGATGTGACCCAGGCCCCTGAGAGCAACGTCTACTTGGGCAATTATATCATTAACTGCTATGTGTTTAGGTGTGACTGCAAAGTTTAGACCTTTAGCTAAAACGGATTTCAGACCATCGGAAATAGAACTGTTACTGCGATTAATTACGACTTTATTAACGTCTAACTTTTTGGTGTATGGGTCCGGTCTTTTGTTGAAGAGGAGGTTAAATTTGGAAATCAGGTTTTCCTTACATTTGGTCGACATAGTAGCAGCTGAAGAGGCAGTCATATTGTCTACATGTTCCCAATCCGATGTGGACATTATTGCCGTCAATGATAAGTGTGATTTGTAGAGTGTCTTGTCTAACTGATCTAGTTCTGTGCGTATAAGTCTGATTTTTTCTGAGATAAGAGCTAAGCTAGTTTTGAAAAGAATTCGTTTCGCATTAGAAGAAGTTACAGTAGCAGAGGTGAGTGTAAATGCGATTGGTATTACCCCAGAGTCGCGGCATCTCTTCAGGAAGGTGAGAGACTCGATCAGCTGAGCTTTCTTATCCCGGAGTTTGTTGAACGATCTTAAAGTTACGTGAAAACCCTCCCCGTAGAGGCGATTAAATTTTGATTTAAAGCTTTCGTGACTGCAGTAATTCATATTCTTAGTTTTTTCCGGTAAAGTCACGTTGAAGAGAAACAACAAAATAACAAAATATATATAAAACAATAAAAAAAATTCTCACAACGTTTCGACCATAACTCAAACGGTCATCATCAGGTGTGTCGGTTTGCATAAATTTATTTTGAAAACGGCATATTTATTTATTTATATATATAAAAAAATAACGTTTGCGTCACGCGCAACGATTGGCAGTTTGCCCAGGACTAGTCCATCTATTTTTTTTTTGAAAAGAGGAGGAATGGAACTTTCTACAAACAAACTGAGGGCACCCCAATGGGCTCCCCCCTTTCTCCAGTTATAGCTAACATTTTCATGGAGAAATTTGAGACTGACGCCATCCAGACTGCCACTCTGCGCCCAACTTTATGGAAGAGGTACGTGGATGACACTTGTGTCATCTGGCCACATGGCCGGCCTGCTCTAGACCAATTCTTCGACCACATCAATTCCATACACCCAGCCATCAGATTTACCATGGAAGTCGAAATAGATGGCAAGATACCTTTTTTGGATGTCCTAATTAAAAAGAGACCTGATGGTTCAATGAGCCACTCTGTCTACAGGAAAGCTACCCATACGGATGCTTATCTGAAACCGGATTCCCACCACCATCCATCACAGAAGAATTCTCTCATCAAGACTCTGTATCATAGAGCCCAATGCATATCCGACCAGGAACACATAAGCAGTGAACTCAAGCACGTACACCAAGCTCTTAGGGCTAATGGTTACTCCGACTATACAATCCGCAAAGCTATCACTCAAACCATGAAGAAGAACCCTCTTGAGGAGCCTTTCAAAACCATCACTTTACCCTACATTGCTGGGATCACAAAAAAGATCTCCAAAATCTTGAATAAACACAAGATCCAGGTCCGTTTCAACACATTACATAAAATCCGTGATCTGGTTCCCTCTGTAAAAGATGTGATTCCGGACATACAATACCCTGGTGTCTACAAACTAAGTTGCCTCTGTGGTAGTAGTTACATTGGAGAAACCAAACGCCATATCTCGGACCGCATTCGTGAACATAAAGCAGACCTTAAACACGGTAGGACCAACACCTCGGCCGTAGCAGATCATTGTTCTAATTCAGTAGGCTCACATGCCATTGACTTTTCCAAGACGGAGGTTCTTTGTAAGCCATCTGGCTTCCATGAGAGATTCGTTCATGAGGCTATCCACATATACAAGTACAGAGACAATTTCAACCGAGAAGATGGATTCTATCTTAGCAATCATTGGAAAGATTTGATAAATCATTTCAGTTCTTGATTGATTGTTCACACTTACAGTGGCTTTCAGACAGCATACATAAAAACAAATTTCGTCTCCCCCCTCCTCTTTTCAAAAAAAAAAATAGATGGACTAGTCCTGGGCAAACTGCCAATCGTTGCACGTGACGCAAACGTTATTTTTAATATATATAAATAAATATGCCGTTTTCAAAATAAATTTATGCAAACCGACACACCTGATGATGACCGTTTGAGTTATGGTCGAAACGTCGTGAGAATTTTTTTATTGTTTTATATATATTTTGTTATTTTGTTGTTTCTCTTCAACGTGACTTTACCGGAAAAAAACTAAGAATATAGCTCTCACCTGCTTAAGTAAAATTAAATTGAACTCACTCGCCCACCATTTCACCAAACCACCCACTCATACAATCACTCCCACACTCACCTACTCACTCATTCACTCACCCACCCAGCCATTCATTCACCCACTCACCCACCATCTCATCAACCCACCCACTCATTCACTCACCCACCATCTCACCAACCCACTCATGCAATCACTCCCACAATCACCTACTCACTCACTCATTCCCTCACCCACCCACTCATTCACTCACCCACCATCTCACCAACCCACCCACTCATTCACTCACCCACCATCTCACCAACCCACCCACTCATACAATCACTCCCACACTCACCTACTCACTCACCCACCCACCCAACCATTCATTCACCCACTCACCCACCATCTCACTAACCCAATCAACTCGTGAATTCACTCCCACACTCACCTACTGACTCATTCACTCACTGACCCACAATCTCACTCACCTACTCACTCATTCACTCACCCAACCACCCATTCGCCCATCACCTCACTCACTCATTCACCCACCCACTCACTCGCCCACCCTAGCGAACGAGACCCTTATATCCCGGTCCATTGATCCCTCTCTCTCTCCCTCTCTCTCTCTCCCCGCCAGGGCAGCTGGGACACACGCGAGGACCTCCCCACCTGCTGCTGGGCGTGGGTGTCGGCGATGTACCGCGAGTTCTCCAGATCCATCTCCTGCTCCAGCCGCCCGTACCTCCCTCCGGGGCCTCCACGGCTTCCTCCTACGCCCAGCGATCCACCTCCCAGCAGCGACTGGCAAACGCGCACACAGCAACGCCGACGACAACAACAGTCACAACGACAGAAACACCCCACCGCTCTTGACACTGTTGCCTGGCTTGACCACCTGAATGTGAAATTGTCTTTGTTGCCCTGCAGCTACGTCAGCAGCCGTACGAAAGAAGAAGAAGAAGCCGCAATGACAACAGCTTACCCACGGGTAGAAGGGACTGAGATGGAACAGATGGAGTTTAGTCCACGCACGGGTAGAAGGGAGTGAGATGGAACAGATGGAGAATAGTCCTCCCACGTGGTAGAAGGAAGTGAGATGGAACAGATGGAGATTAGTCCACACACGTGGTAGAAGGGAGTGAGATGGAACAGATGGAGATTAGTCCACACACGTGGTAGAAGGGAGTGAGATGGAACAGATGGAGATTAGTCCACCCACGGGTATAAGTGAGTGAGATGGAAGAGATGGAGATTAGTCCACACACGGGTAGAAGGGACTGAGATGGAAGAGATGGAGTTTAGTCCACGCACGGGTAGAAGGGATTGAGATGGAACAGATGGAGAATAGTCCACCCACGTGGTATAAGGGACTGAGATGGAACAGATGGAGATTAGTCCACCCACGGGTAGAAGGGAGTGAGATGGAACAGATGGAGATTAGTCCACCCACGTGGTAGAAGGGACTGAGATGGAACAGATGGAGATTAGTCCACCCACGGGTAGAAGGGAGTGAGATGGAACAGATGGAGATTAGTCCACCCACGTGGTAGAAGGGAGTGAGATGGAACAGATGGAGATTAGTCCACACACGTGGTAGAAGGGACTGAGATGGAACAGATGGAGATTAGTCCACCCACGGGTAGAAGGGAGTGAGATGGAACAGATGGAGATTAGTCCACCCACGTGGTAGAAGGGACTGAGATGGAACAGATGGAGATTAGTCCACCCACGGGTAGAAGGGAGTGAGATGGAACAGATGGAGATTAGTCCACCCACGTGGTAGAAGGGAGTGAGATGGAACAGATGGAGATTAGTCCACCCACGTGGTAGAAGGGACTGAGATGGAACAGATGGAGATTAGTCCACACACGGGTAGAAGGGAGTGAGATGGAACAGATGGAGATTAGTCCACACACGTGGTAGAAGGGAGTGAGATGGAACAGATGGAGATTAGTCCACACACGTGGTAGAAGGGAGTGAGATGGAACAGATGGAGAATAGTCCACACACGTGGTAGAAGGGAGTGAGATGGAACAGATGGGGATTAGTCCACACACGTGGTAGAAGGGAGTGAGATGGAACAGATGGAGATTAGTCCTCCCACTTGGTAGAAGGGAGTGAGATGGAACAAAAGGAGATTAGTCCACACACGTGGTAGAAGGGACTGAGATGGAACAGATGGAGATTAGTCCACACACGTGGTAGAAGGAAGTGAGATGGAACAGATGGAGATTAGTCCACCCATGGGTAGAAAGGTCTGAGATGGAACAGATGGAGATTAGTCCACCCACGGGTATAAGTGAGTGAGATGGAACAGATGGAGATTAGTCCACACACGGGTAGAAGGGAGTGAGATGGAACAGATGGAGATTAGTCCACACACGGTGTAGAAGGGAGTGAGATGGAACAGATGGCGATTAGTCCACACACGGTGTAGAAGGGAGTGAGATGGAACAGATGGAGATTAGTCCACACACGTGGTAGAAGGGAGTGAGATGGAACAGATGGAGATTACTGCACACACGTAGTAGAAGGGAGTGAGATGGGACAGATGGAGATTAGTCCTCCCACTTGGTAGAAGGGAGTGAGATGGAACAGATGGAGATTAGTCCACCCACTTGGTAGAAGGGAGTGAGATGGAACAGATGGAGATTAGTCCACACACGTGGTAGAAGGGAGTGAGATGGAACAGATGGAGATTAGTCCACACACGTAGTAGAAGGGAGTGAGATGGAACAGATGGAGATTAGTGCACACACGTGGTAGAAGGGATTGAGATGGAACAGATGGAGATGAGTCCACACACGTGGTAGAAGGGAGTGAGATGGAACAGATGGAGATTAGTCCACACACGTGCTAGAAGGGAGTGAGATGGAACAGATGGAGATTAGTCCACACACGTGTTAGAAGGGAGTGAGATGAAACAGATGGAGATTAGTCCACACACGTGGTAGAAGGGACTGAGATGGAACAGATGGAGATTAGTCCACCCACGGGTAGAAGGGAGTGAGATGGAACAGATGGAGATTAGTCCACCCACGTGGTAGAAGGGACTGAGATGGAACAGATGGAGATTAGTCCACACACGGGTAGAAGGGAGTGAGATGGAACAGATGGAGATTAGTCCACACACGTGGTAGAAGGGAGTGAGATGGAACAGATGGAGATTAGTCCACACACGTGGTAGAAGGGAGTGAGATGGAACAGATGGAGAATAGTCCACACACGTGGTAGAAGGGAGTGAGATGGAACAGATGGGGATTAGTCCACACACGTGGTAGAAGGGAGTGAGATGGAACAGATGGAGATTAGTCCTCCCACTTGGTAGAAGGGAGTGAGATGGAACAGATGGAGATTAGTCCACACACGTGGTAGAAGGGAGTGAGATGGAACAGATGGAGATTAGTCCACACACGTGGTAGAAGGAAGTGAGATGGAACAGATGGAGATTAGTCCACCCATGGGTAGAAAGGTCTGAGATGGAACAGATGGAGATTAGTCCACCCACGGGTATAAGTGAGTGAGATGGAACAGATGGAGATTAGTCCACCCACGGGTAGAAGGGACTGAGATGGAACAGATGGAGATTAGTCCACCCACGGGTAGAAGGGAGTGAGATGGAACAGATGGAGATTAGTCCACCCACGTGGTAGAAGGGACTGAGATGGAACAGATGGAGATTAGTCCACACACGGGTAGAAGGGAGTGAGATGGAACAGATGGAGATTAGTCCACACACGTGGTAGAAGGGAGTGAGATGGAACAGATGGAGATTAGTCCACACACGTGGTAGAAGGGAGTGAGATGGAACAGATGGAGAATAGTCCACACACGTGGTAGAAGGGAGTGAGATGGAACAGATGGGGATTAGTCCACACACGTGGTAGAAGGGAGTGAGATGGAACAGATGGAGATTAGTCCTCCCACTTGGTAGAAGGGAGTGAGATGGAACAGATGGAGATTAGTCCACACACGTGGTAGAAGGGAGTGAGATGGAACAGATGGAGATTAGTCCACACACGTGGTAGAAGGAAGTGAGATGGAACAGATGGAGATTAGTCCACCCATGGGTAGAAAGGTCTGAGATGGAACAGATGGAGATTAGTCCACCCACGGGTATAAGTGAGTGAGATGGAACAGATGGAGATTAGTCCACACACGGGTAGAAGGGAGTGAGATGGAACAGATGGAGATTAGTCCACACACGGTGTAGAAGGGAGTGAGATGGAACAGATGGCGATTAGTCCACACACGGTGTAGAAGGGAGTGAGATGGAACAGATGGAGATTAGTCCACACACGTGGTAGAAGGGAGTGAGATGGAACAGATGGAGATTACTGCACACACGTAGTAGAAGGGAGTGAGATGGAACAGATGGAGATTAGTCCTCCCACTTGGTAGAAGGGAGTGAGATGGAACAGATGGAGATTAGTCCACCCACTTGGTAGAAGGGAGTGAGATGGAACAGATGGAGATTAGTCCACACACGTGGTAGAAGGGAGTGAGATGGAACAGATGGAGATTAGTCCACACACGTAGTAGAAGGGAGTGAGATGGAACAGATGGAGATTAGTGCACACACGTGGTAGAAGGGATTGAGATGGAACAGATGGAGATGAGTCCACACACGTGGTAGAAGGGAGTGAGATGGAACAGATGGAGATTAGTCCACACACGTGGTAGAAGGGAGTGAGATGGAACAGATGGAGATTAGTCCACACACGTGTTAGAAGGGAGTGAGATGAAACAGATAGAGATTAGTCCATCCACGTGGTAGAAGGGAGTGAGATGGAACAGATGGAGATTAGTCCACACACGTGTTAGAAGGGAGTGAGATGGAACAGATGGAGATTAGTCCACCCACGTGGTAGAAGGGAGTGAGATGGAACAGATGGAGATTAGTTCACCCACGTGGGGGCGCGTGACCCCCGACTGACCTTGCGGCTCTTCCCCTCCTCGCCGGCCACCGCGCGGGGGCTGGCCATGTCGTCCTTCATCTCCTGCGGACGACGCAGCGACAGCGCCCTCAGGGAGGGCGGCAGAGAGGGGGCGTCACTGTGTGGGCCCCACTAAGCCTCGCACGCGGCAAGGTGACAAGAGTGTGTTACCAGCACGCGTATGTGTGTGTGACGCGCGCTTGTGTGACGCGCGTATGTGTGTGTGACGCGCGCTTGTGTGACGCGCGTATGTGTGTGTGACGCGCGCTTGTGTGACGCGCGTATGTGTGTGTGACGCGCGCTTGTGTGACGCGCGTATGTGTGTGTGTAACACGTACGTGTGGGTGCGTGCGTGTGACACGTGTGTGTGTGTGTGTAACAAGTGTGTGTCACACGTGTGTGTATCACGTGTGTGTGCGTGTGTGACTCGTGTGTGTGTGTAACAAGTGTGTGTAACACGTGCGTGCGTGTGTGACGCGTGCGTGTGTGTAACATGTGTGTGCGCGTGTGTGCGTGTGTGAGGCGTGTGTGTGTGTAACAAGTGTGTGTAACACGTGTGTGCGTGTGTGTGACGCGTGCGTGTGTGTGTGTGTGTAACACGTGTGTGCGCGTGTGTGCGTGTGTGACGCGTGTGTGCGTGTGTGACGCGTGTGTGCGTGTGTAACAAGTGTGTGTGTGTGCGTGTGTGACGCGTGTGTGCGTGTGTGACGCGTGTGTGTGTGTAACAAGTGTGTGTGTGTGTGCGTGTGTGACGCGTGAACGTGCCTTGACGCTCTGCCTGGTGCGAGCGATGAACGCTTTTCGATCGCCCAGCTCAGAGGAGTCCATCTTGAACTTGCGAGGGTTGGTCTCCACGATGCGTGGACGCCGATAGGAAAAACAAACGCAGCTCCACGCAGCGCAGACATCCTCACCACACGGAGACCTCACCACACGGAGACCTCACCACACGGAGACCTCACCACACAGAACTCACCACACGGAGAACTCACCACACACAGAGACCTCACCACACGGAGACCTCACCACACGGAGACCTCACCACACGGAGAACTCACCACACGGAGACCTCACCACACGGAGAACTCACCACACAGAGACCTCACCACACAGAACTCACCACACGGAGACCTCACCACACGGAGACCTCACCACACAGAACTCAGCACACAGACCCCACCACACGGAGAACTCACCACACGGAGACCTCACCACACAGAACTCACCACACGGAGACCTCACCACACGGAGACCTCACCACACAGAACTCACCACACGGAGACCTCACCACACGGAGACCTCACCACACACAGAACTCACCACACAGAGACCTCACCACACAGAGACCTCACCACACAGAGACCTCACCACACAGAGACCTCACCACACGGAGACCTCACCACACACAGATCTCACCACACAGAGACCTCACCACACAGAGACCTCACCACACACAGAACTCACCACACAGAACTCACCACACAGAGACCTCACCACACAGAACTCACCACACAGAGACCTCACCACACGGAGACCTCACCACACGGAGACCTCACCACACAGAGACCTCACCACACAGAACTCACCACACAGAGACCTCACCACACAGAGACCTCACCACACAGAACTCACCACACAGAGACCTCACCACACAGAGACCTCACCACACAGAGACCTCACCACACAGAGACCTCACCACACAGAACTCACCACACAGAGACCTCACCACACAGAGACCTCACCACACAGAGACCTCACCACACAGAACTCACCACACAGAGACCTCACCACACAGAACTCACCACACAGAGACCTCACCACACAGAGACCTCACCACACAGAGACCTCACCACACAGAGACCTCACCACACAGAACTCACCACACAGAGACCTCACCACACAGAACTCACCACACAGAGACCTCACCACACAGAGACCTCACCACACAGAACTCACCACCCAGAGACCTCACCACACAGAACTCACCACCCAGAGACCTCACCACACAGAACTCACCACACGGAGACCTCACCACACGGAGACCTCACCACACGGAGACCTCACCACACAGAACTCACCACACAGACCTCACCACACAGAGACCTCACCACACAGAGACCTCACCACACAGAGACCTCACCACACAGAACTCACCACACAGAGACCTCACCACACAAAGACCTCACCACACAGAGACCTCACCACATAGAGACCTCACAACACAGAGACCTCACCACCTAGAACTCACCACACAGACCTCACCACACTGAGACCTCACCACACAGAGACCTCACCACACAGAACTCACCACACAGAGACCTCACCACACAGAGACCTCACCACACAGAGACCTCACCACACAGAGACCTCACCACACAGAGACCTCACCACACAGAGACCTCACCACACAGAGACCTCACCACACAAAGACCTCACCACACAGAGACCTCACCACACAGAACTCACCACACAGAGACCTCACCACCCAAAGACCTCACCACACAGAGACCTCACCACACAGAGACCTCACCACATAGAACTCACCACACAGAGACCTCACCACAGAGACCTCACCACACAAAGACCTCACCACACAGAGACCTCACCACACAGAGACCTCACCACATAGAGACCTCACAACACAGAGACCTCACCACCTAGAACTCACCACAGAGACCTCACCACACAGAGACCTCACCACACAGAGACCTCACCACACAGACACCTCACCACACAGAACTCACCACAGAGACCTCACCACACGGAGACCTCACCACACAGAGACCTCACCACACAGAGACCTCACCACACAGAGACCTCACCACACAGAGACCTCACCACACAGAGACCTCACCACACAGAACTCACCACACGGAGACCTCACCACACGGAGACCTCACCACACGGAGACCTCACCACACAGAGACCTCACCACACAGAACTCACCACACAGAGACCTCACCACACAGAGACCTCACCACACAGAACTCACCACACAGAGACCTCACCACACAGAGACCTCACCACACAGAGACCTCACCACACAGAACTCACCACACAGAGACCTCACCACACAGAACTCACCACACAGAGACCTCACCACACAGAGACCTCACCACACAGAACTCACCACCCAGAGACCTCACCACACAGAACTCACCACCCAGAACTCACCACACGGAGACCTCACCACACGGAGACCTCACCACACAGAACTCACCACACAGACCTCACCACACAGAGACCTCACCACACAGAGACCTCACCACACAGAGACCTCACCACACAGAACTCACCACACAGAGACCTCACCACACAAAGACCTCACCACACAGAGACCTCACCACATAGAGACCTCACAACACAGAGACCTCACCACCTAGAACTCACCACACAGACCTCACCACACTGAGACCTCACCACACAGAGACCTCACCACACAGAACTCACCACACAGAGACCTCACCACACAGAGACCTCACCACACAGAGACCTCACCACACAGAGACCTCACCACACAGAACTCACCACACAGAGACCTCACCACACAGAACTCACCACACAGAGACCTCACCACACAGAGACCTCACCACACAGAACTCACCACACAGAGACCTCACCACCCAAAGACCTCACCACACAGAGACCTCACCACACAGAGACCTCACCACATAGAACTCATCACACAGAGACCTCACCACAGAGACCTCACCACACAAAGACCTCACCACACAGAGACCTCACCACACAGAGACCTCACCACATAGAGACCTCACAACACAGAGACCTCACCACCTAGAACTCACCACAGAGACCTCACCACACAGAGACCTCACCACACAGAGACCTCACCACACAGACACCTCACCACACAGAACTCACCACAGAGACCTCACCACACGGAGACCTCACCACACAGAGACCTCACCACACAGAGACCTCACCACACAGAGACCTCACCACACAGAGACCTCACCACACAGAGACCTCACCACACAGAACTCACCACACAGAGACCTCACCACACGGAGACCTCACCACACGGAGACCTCACCACACAGAGACCTCACCACACAGAACTCACCACACAGAGACCTCACCACACAGAGACCTCACCACACAGAACTCACCACACAGAGACCTCACCACACAGAGACCTCACCACACAGAGACCTCACCACACAGAGACCTCACCACACAGAACTCACCACACAGAGACCTCACCACACAGAACTCACCACACAGAGACCTCACCACACAGAGACCTCACCACACAGAACTCACCACCCAGAGACCTCACCACACAGAACTCACCACCCAGAACTCACCACACGGAGACCTCACCACACGGAGACCTCACCACACAGAACTCACCACACAGACCTCACCACACAGAGACCTCACCACACAGAGACCTCACCACACAGAGACCTCACCACACAGAACTCACCACACAGAGACCTCACCACACAAAGACCTCACCACACAGAGACCTCACCACATAGAGACCTCACAACACAGAGACCTCACCACCTAGAACTCACCACACAGACCTCACCACACTGAGACCTCACCACACAGAGACCTCACCACACAGAACTCACCACACAGAGACCTCACCACACAGAGACCTCACCACACAGAGACCTCACCACACAGAGACCTCACCACACAGAACTCACCACACAGAGACCTCACCACACAGAACTCACCACACAGAGACCTCACCACACAGAGACCTCACCACACAGAACTCACCACACAGAGACCTCACCACCCAAAGACCTCACCACACAGAGACCTCACCACACAGAGACCTCACCACATAGAACTCACCACACAGAGACCTCACCACAGAGACCTCACCACACAAAGACCTCACCACACAGAGACCTCACCACACAGAGACCTCACCACATAGAGACCTCACAACACAGAGACCTCACCACCTAGAACTCACCACAGAGACCTCACCACACAGAGACCTCACCACACAGAGACCTCACCACACAGACACCTCACCACACAGAACTCACCACAGAGACCTCACCACACGGAGACCTCACCACACAGAAACCTCACCACACAGAGACCTCACCACACAGAGACCTCACCACACAGAGACCTCACCACACAGAGACCTCACCACACGGAGACCTCACCACAGAGACCTCACCACACAGAGACCTCACCACCTAGAACTCACCACAGAGACCTCACCACACAGAGACCTCACCACACAGAGACCTCACCACACAGAGACCTCACCACTCAGAGACCTCACCACACAGAGACCTCACCACACAGAGACCTCACCACACAGAGACCTCACCACACAGAACTCACCACACAGAACTCACCACACAGAACTCACCACACAGAGACCTCACCACACAGAACTCACCACACAGAGACCTCACCACAGAGACCTCACCACACAGAGACCTCACAACACAGAGACCTCACAACACAGAGACCTCACCACACAGAGACCTCACAACACAGAGACCTCACAACACAGAGACCTCACCACACAGAGACCTCACAACACAGAGACCTCACCACCTAGAACTCACCACAGAGACCTCAGCATAAGTAGACCACACAAGGAGGTGGGTAGCTAGCACCACCCCCAGCCGCCTTTGTCTCCCTAGTGGCGACGTTTACGCACCGCACAAGATACTCATTTGAGGCCGAGTCAACTTAGGGGAGGCCCAGAACCAAATCAGATAATCATCACTGATGCTGGTCGTCACCAGGAATCGAACTCGCTGGTTTGTAGTTCCGTGTGCTAACCACTCCACTACCAAACGGACCCCACGCACACAGACACACAAGTACTGTCAGTGAGCAGCACCTATGACGTCTACACAGACACACAAGTACTGTCAGTGAACAGCACCTATGACGTCTACACACAGACACACAAGTACTGTCAGTGAACAGCACCTATGACGTCTACACACAGACACACAAGTACTGTCAAGCGAGCAGCACCTATGACGTCTACACAGACACACAAGTGCTGTCAGCGAGCAGCACCTATGACGTCTACACAGACACACAAGTACTGTCAGTGAGCAGCACCTATGACGTCTACACACACAGACAAGTGCTGTCAGCGAGCAGCACCTATGACGTCTACACACAGACACACAAGTGCTGTCAGCGAGCAGCACCTATGACGTCTACACAGACACACAAGTACTGTCAGTGAGCAGCACCTATGACGTCTACACACACAGACACACAAGTGTTGTCTGCGAGCTGCACCTATGACGTCTACACACAGACACACAAGTACTGTCTGTGAGCAGCACCTATGACGTCTACACACAGACACACAAGTGTTGTCAGTGAGCAGCACCTATGACGTCTACACACAGACACACAAGTGCTGTCAGTGAGCAGCACCTATGACGTCTACACACAGACACACAAGTGTTGTCAGTGAGCAGCACCTATGACGTCTACACACAGACACACAAGTACTGTCAGTGAGCAGCACCTATGACGTCTACACACAGACACACAAGTGTTGTCAGTGAGCAGCACCTATGACGTCTACACACACAGACACACAAGTGCTGTCAGCAAGCAGCACCTATGACGTCTACACACAGACACACAAGTGTTGTCAGTGAGCAGCACCTATGACGTCTACACACACAGACACACAAGTACTGTCAGTGAGCAGCAACTATGACGTCTACACACACAGACACACAAGTGCTGTCAGCGAGCAGCACCTATGACGTCTACACACAGACACACAAGTGACGTCTACACACACAGACACACAAGTACTGTCAGCGAGCAGCACCTATGACGTCTACACACAGACACACAAGTGCTGTCAGCGAGCAGCACCTATGACGTCTACACACAGACACACAAGTACTGTCAGCGAGCAGCACCTATGACGTCTACACACACAGACACACACGTACTGTCAGCGAGCAGCACCTATGACGTCTACACACAGACACACAAGTGCTGTCAGTGAGCAGCACCTATGACGTCTACACACACAGACACACAAGTACTGTCAGTGAGCAGCACCTATGACGTCTACACACAGACACACAAGTACTGTCAGTGAGCAGCACCTATGACGTCTACACACAGACACACAAGTACTGTCAGTGAGCAGCACCTATGACGTCTACACACACAGACACACAAGTGCTGTCAGCGAGCAGCACCTATGACGTCTACACACACACACAAGTGCTGTCAACGAGCAGCACCTATGACGTCTACACACAGACACACAAGTGTTGTCAGTGAGCAGCACCTATGACGTCTACACACACAGACACACAAGTACTGTCAGTGAGCAGCAACTATGACGTCTACACACACAGACACACAACAGCCTCCGCCGTTCGCTACAAAGTGGCGGTGACGCGACCTCGGCGTTTGTTCAGGCTCTGTGCACTTTAACTACAGACACGCAGACACGTGCACGCGCCTGCGCACCCAGGATATTGACGGTCTCGGCGAGGTCCTCCAGGTCCCACTCGAGGCTGCGCAGGGCGTTACGCAGCTCGTTGCTCGTCCACTCGAGCTCCTCGCGACCCCCGTGGTGACCCCCGTGGTGACCGTGACTCCCGTGGCCGGAGCCGCCGCCAGAGCCGGCGCCCGGCTCCAGTAGCAGCAGCTCCCTCCAGCGCTGGTGCAGACCCTGCGCTGAGGCCAGCGCCTTCACCACTTCCCTGCCCACGCACACACACACACGAGCGAGCGAGCGCAGCACGTGTCGTAGTGGTTACAGGCAGTCCTCGACTTACAAACGCCCGTGCTTACGAACACCACCCACGCTTATGAACACCACACACTCTTATGAACACCACCCGACTTATGAACACCACCCACTCTTACGAACACCACCCACTCTTACAAACGCCACCCACCCTTACAAACACCACCCGACTTATGAACACCACCCACTCTTACGAACGCCACCCACTCTTGCGAACGCCACCCACTCTTACAAACGCCACCCACTCTTACGAACGCCACCCACTCTTACGAACACCACCCTCTCTTACGAACACCACCCACTCTTACGAACACCACCCGACTTATGAACACCACCCACTCTTACGAACGCCACCCACTCTTACGAACGCCACCCACTCTTACGAACGCCACCCACTCTTGCGAACGCCACCCACACTTACGAACACCACCCACTCTTACGAACGCCACCCACTCTTACGAACACCACCCACTCTTACGAACACCACCCACTCTTACGAACGCCACCCACTCTTCCGAACACCACCCGACTTATGAACACCACCCACTCTTACGAACACCACCCACTCTTACGAACACCACCCACTCTTATGAACGCCACCCACTCTTATGAACACCACCCACTCTTACGAACACCACCCGACTTATGAACACCTGCACTTACGAACACCGCACGCTTACAAACACCCACGATTACGAACACCCTGTGCTTCGAAACACCCGACATATGAACACTCGCACTTACGAACACCCTGCACTTACGAAACCCCGTGCTTACAAACACCTGCACTTACGAACCACCTTCCATGAAACATGTATATATATTTTGTTTTTTTACCTTGACTTAAAACGCGAACTCGCACTTGCAAACTGAACCGCAGAACAATTTTGTTCCTCCGCGAGATGGAATGAGAAATAAAACGAATGTTTATCCCAATTTATGCAAATGTTTTGTTGAACCATGACAATTCATAACACTGACCGTATGGGCGTTTAAATGCAATACAATGTTGTGCACCGACTTCCGAACTGTTCCACTTACGAACGGGTCTCGGGAACGAATGATGTTTGTTAGTCGAGGGCTGCAAGGTCCAACCATGTTCGTCCAGTGCTCATTACACACAAAGTGGTTGCCACAAACAAACCATCGTACATCGATGATCTCGTCACGGAGCACAAATCATCACGCAAACTCCGGCTATCCTCACAGCAGCGGCTTTAGGATAACCATCGAATAAAGACGCTCACTGCATCGCACGGTTTTGGTTCCACTTAGGCTGCCATCTTGAACGCTCTCTTCCTTTCGATATCATGAATCCAATGGAGCTATGCACTTTCAAATCGAGATTGAAAACTCATTTCTCTAAAGCTGCTTTTTGTCTTTAGTTTGTTGTCCTTCCCCCGCACCTCCGACGAGCACGGTTGGCTACGTACGGTGCGAAAGAAGTTCAACGTACATACACACGGAGCGGTCCAACTTGCGGGGGCGACCCTGGGATCGTCTGCTGCCATGCGGCCGCAGCGATCGCCGCTATGCGTGCGACCATCCCCCCCACCCGTCCATGAAAATAATTCCACGGCGTAATTTCTCGGAATTTGAAAAATTTGGGGATCGTGACGGCGATTTGCGCTCAACGGCCAAACTCCTGCGAGAGATGTACGTTGCGTGGATCTTGTAGTCGTCCAAGTGAGGCAGACGGTGTGGCGATTACACACGAACTGCGTACCTCTGCAGCAACGAGCGGCCTCACGAGCTACCGTCGGACCACGACACCACCCTCAACTAAAACTTAATTATTTTCCAGGTGTAAGGCCCCCTGAGCTATATAGTAATTTTTCAGAAGCGACTGGGCCATTGCAAATGACAGCTCAACGAAGTGGTTTATCACGTGGAAATATACAGCAGAAGCCAAATATTCGAACCCAGCGTTATTCACTAATTTTAAGAAGAAGGGCCGCTTTCGCCGAAAAGACATCATCAGCGTGAGGACCGCCACACATTTGAAACGATGAGGGTTTGACAGCACGATGATGACGATGGGGTGGATTGTCGGGACCCGCACATCAAGGGGACACTAAAGGCCACCAGGGGCCGCCAGTAGCCAGCAGGCCTTGCAATGAAGACCACTGCTCGAAACACGTGACATTGATTCTCAATGTGGAGGTCTAAACACGTGACATTGATTCTCAATGTGGAGGTCTAAACACGTGACATTGATTCTCAATGTGGAGGTCTAAACACGTGACATTGATTCTCAATGTGGAGGTCTAAACACGTGACATTGATTCTCAATGTGGAGGTTTAAACACGTGACATTGATTCTCAATGTGGAGGTCTAAACACGTGACATTGATTCTCAATGTGGAGGTTTAAACACGTGACATTGATTCTCAATGTGGAGGTCTAAACACGTGACATCGATTCTCAATGTGGAGAAAAATCCACGCGACCACGGCAAGAGAGAGAGACGCAAACTCCAATTAAGCAGCAGGCGTCAGGGTCGGGATCGAACCCACGACCTCCTGTACACCAGGCGAGGTAGTTAACATCTCCTAGCCACCGTGGTGATGATGATGATGATGAGAGAGATGCAAAATCCAAACATACAGCAGGTATCAGGGTCGGGATCGAACCCACGACCTCCTGTACACCAGGCGAGGTAGTTAACATCTCCTAGCCACCCGGCAGGAGGTGGGCGGGGAGAGGGGGAGGCAGAGATGTGTAAACCTCAGCTGCACACGCTCAGAATTCACGCTCGGAGAATTCAGCAGAGAGCCGACGACGGGCCAGACTATTGTTGAGATTGAATGGAGTGCATACACACGCAGAGACACGCACATCCACACAGTGCGGACTCACACACAGAGTACAGGAAACAGTGCAAAGACAATGATCCCCAGTATAGACACTTGCAGGCTATTTGGGCAAGTGCTGTTGGCGAGCACCCTATGGAGGCCGGCGCAGGCACACAAGGTGGTTGTGGCCAGTACCACGCCCGGCAGTGTTGTATATGGCCCCCTTTTTACATCTTTAATATTCACAAGAAATTTGCCGATACGTATATATTTTTTTTAGAGAAATAATGAATGAAAACACACAAGCGCACAGCAAGCTGCAAAGCACGTAAGCCAAGGAGCCCGAGCCAAAAAAAAAACCAAGGGCGAGGAGAGCGAAGCAACACTGAATGCCAGCGTGTGAACCTGGCCTCGGCACGCGAGAGATAAGAGCGGACAGAAACTCATTATTCCAACCACCTGCGCTCGCGAGAGGGCTGGAAATCCGTGGATAACCCTTCCCCGCCGCAGCTACACGGAATGACGAAAATTAATGAGGACTGGGGAAAGGCCTTGGGATGGCGGCGTCAGCGGAGCAGCGGCAACAGCGGCGCGAGTAGAGAGAGCGGGGGCAGAGAGTGTGGGGCAGAGAGTGGGAGAGACAGCGAGAGAGTGGGGGGCAGCAGCAGACCTTGGCAAACAAATTAAGTTGGGGAGATTACAAGCCATGGTCACACAGAACATTGATACTAACACTATTCACCTTAAAATGACGATGCCCTTGCCCGTTACCCGACCGCACAGACACGAAAATTAATAAACTGAGGAAGGGCCGTTGAATTGAAATTAAAATTAATGAGACACAGACAGAGCGCAGCACACAGCAAACTGTAGGGTTAACTAAACGCCGAGCCCAGGGTCAACGAGAGTTCGCGTTAGCCACAGACATAGTTAGGTCAAACAGCTAAACCATTTATCCTGCATTGCTTTTAAAGTAACGTTAAAGTTCGAAATTCAACAACAGGAGTAGGCTAAAATTATCGATCTTCGCGCTCGCTCCAATTGGAGACCAGGCTGCGAGCTACATCAATGATTCATTGCCCATTTATGAATTCAATACTGAATGTTTAGTAGTTTTTAGTAGTTTCTGCACAACCTGACCGAAGCGTGTGACAATCAGAATTTTTCCAAAGTCAAAACGAATTCTCTAACCTCAGGACATAAGCAAATAATAATAATGCAGTGTTAATTCAGAGGTTAGAGAGGGAAAAACACGTAAGCCAGAGCAGCCCTGAAGTAAGGGCCGGGAGAGGCTCCTGCGGGTGCCCGTGTGAAGCTGACCTCGGCACGCCAAAGATAAGAGCAACAGACGGAGAGAAAGAGAGATGCTTTTATCTCCCCGCAGCGTGAGAGAGCGGAGGAATAATCACAAGCTATCTGTGTTCAAGGGAGAGCTAAATCTAATTAAGCAACGCACACACCAGGCAGAGAGGAGTGGACGTGGGGAGAGATGCCTTGAATGAAGCGTGTCTCAGCAGGACCCCAGGCAACAAGTTTAAGTTAAAGAAATCACAGTACATAATTCATACATAACATTCATGTTAAAGCTAAATAATACTTGAGCGATGTTAAACCGGGGGCCAGGGAAAAAGAGAGTCTCCCGGCCGCCTTTGTCTTCCTGCAGCACATAATAAGAATATGCATACGCATATCGAACACCACGATGGAAAACTAACACAACAGACCATACAGAATCATCACTGTAAGACTATGATGGAATAAACTGATGGAATAAAATGTTAACTTTAAAAACCTTAACCATTTCTTTGTGCGTCGGTGAAGGTCGCACCGGAGGGAATATCGCCCCTCCCTCCAGGTTGCGCAACACAGACAGAGACGCCTGTGAGACGATTTGTAACACCTGTTGTTATGGTTTGTGGAAAGAGGAGGGCAACAGAACTGTGCCGTAAATGACGCACACAAGGACACACATACGGACGGACGCACATACGGACACACACTCCACACCACGACACACAGCTAAATCAAAAGAAGCTCCGCCTTGTGGGGAGGAGCCAAGAGGAGGGATTTTGGCATAAAATAGGACACTACAGCATTGAAAATCAGAGAGAGTGTGCCACAGGGTGCGCGCCACGGAGCGCCGCCTCTTCGCGCCAGA